CAAAAAAAGTTTACTCAAGAATTTGGTCAAGAAGGTTCATAGAATCAATGATCAACATTAAAATAATTTTTTTTCTATCGGCGACCTTCTCTGTTGCTTTATATTCATTCATTTCTTTTCTTTTTTCAGCTTCTATCTGTTTGTCTATTTCCTTTGTGTTCTACTGTTCATTGTAAAAACAAACGCTTTCTTTGTCCTCTTTTTTTTCTTTATTCGATTTTGTTTCATCATGATTTTATTCGAAATTAATAAAAAAAAAAGACCTATTATTGTTCATCTATTGAGAATATATATATAATATATATTAAACAAACGATAAACTTACCATATTTTTTTTAATTAGTATCATTGTACTCTATGTGTTATTTATTTATTTATTTATTTATTTTTCTTCGCTGTCAAATCTGCGATTATTTATTATAATTGAATGAATGAATGAAAGATCAAGGAAGACAAAAAAGAAACCACATTGAAGTAATTTTATTTATTGATGTTATTTTTTCATTCCTTTATTGTTCAGAAGTTACATTATATTCACACGTAAGATTATATGCGCACAATGTAAAAAGCTAGTCAATAACTTAGAGAAAAAATATATGTATAGTTTTTTTCTTTTTATTTCTTTTTGCTTGATATTAAACAAAATCAATTTTCGGATCAATTATAAAGTGTTGGTTTTGGTGCGAAAAAACGAAAATTAGGTTTGTCTAAAAGTACTCCATGGGTTGGATAATTACGTTTTCCAAGTAGAATTCCTTCGAATGGATAATTACGTTTTCCAAGTAAAATTCCTTCTGTTAGATAATCATGTATGTTAAGTGAACTATCATCATTTGGAAAAGCTCGTCGACCAATTAAAATACCTTCAAGAGGTAATTTTCGTTTTGATAATATTGGTTCATCATCGAATGGTGTATATATTTGATCAGATGAGTCAAAATTTACGGGAACACCATTTACAAAATGCACAGCAAGTACAACTAAATGAAATATTTTTATAGAATACAATTATATATATATATATTATACCTAGTGTAATTGATAAAATAGAGAATAATTGAATTGATGATAACATTTTTAGATTTAGTCTAGAAAAATGGCAGCTCAACTGCAGATCTACAAAAGAAAAAATAATTTTCCAAACAGACAAAATATTGAAAAGAAAGTTTAATCTAATAGATAGAAAATGATCTTAAACTAGATGATGTATAATTACGATAGTTATACATCTATAGAGTGATGAAAACCATCAATAATATCCATAACTTAAGTAAGAACAATGTTACTTACTACTGATGTATTGAAAAAATGACCTGAAATTTTGAAAAAAATATACTTCTTAAATACTTATAGTTACTCCTACACATCAACTTATTTGATGTCAACAGACACTCATTGAGAAATAAGCTACAAATATTACAGAAAACTCAGTTCTGTCCTTCACTTTTTTTTGGAGTAAACTGTAAAAATGTCGATTTCTTGAGAACAGAGAAAAATAATAATTTAAAGAATTTCTCTCTTCTTATCTTCTCTCTGTTTTTTTTACATGAATGGGTTTCCCTTAATAATAATGCAAAAAAAATGGATAAGTAATCAAGGAGAGTAGCCATATGTCTATATATTAATAATAATAAAAAAAAAAACTTTGTAACATCTGACTAATAGCTAACAGAACACATATCAACAGCTCACCTTGGAGGAGTTTTCAATGATGGGTTGCTCAGTCGATAAAAATTTTTTATCAACTAAAAACTCATTATTGTAAAGCTCCTCTAGGGAATGATGCGAATCATCATACAGGAAAAAGAAAAGAATATGGATGAACAATTATATGAACTCTTTCAAAAATTAAAATTAACATTCAATTCTATGACTTCAATAAGAACCATCAAGTAAAAACTTTATTTATATAGTAAATAATCATCAGCAATATATTGGTTAATTCAAAACACAATTGTACATGTCTTTTGTATTTAGTGAATAATTTAGTATCTTATCTCTAAGGACATAATGTCATCAGAATTACTGAATAAATGATTTTGTTCAGTAGGTTATTCTCTATTGTCGATCTTTGATTATAAAAATATTTATTTCAATGATATCTTACAACTCAACAATCATAGAAAATATGTAATAGAGTCTTGTTTTGTCAAAGTATGAATAGATTCTATGGCATTAATGACGTATTTGAGTTTAGTACCAAGTTAAGAATTCTCAGCTATGTGTTACATCATAATATTCTGGAAACGAAGGTTCAATGAATTGAAGTTAACGAGAATTTTTTTGAGATTGAAATAAATAAGAAAAAAAAAAGTTTTTTGTTAAATTAACATTTTTTTCTGATAAAATAAACAGTCTTCAAAATAAATTATACCACTTGTATGTGTAATTGAAATTCTGGAAATTATATCAAAATTGATTTTTAGGCTTTATTGATATATGAATTTCTATTGAAGATCACACTATTTTTTTTTCTAGAATTTTTAAATACTTGCCGAAAGTATTGATAATCAAGTTGCTCAGAAGAAAATATTCTGATTGTAAGATTTCAATGATGAAATTTTTGTAATCTTTAATTAGTAAGAGAATAGATACACGATGAAAACTTATAAACAGTGATGAGCTAGAACTTATGAATATTGAAATACAAAAGTGTGATTAAAAGTAGTCATAACAAATAATGTTGACCTGACATCAGTAACTAAAAGCGAAAAGAAAAATCATCTTGCTTCAATGCACAATTATCGTTTCCAGCAGAATGTTTTCTATTTTATTAAACTATTTAGAAGCAATTATTAAACAAAAAACTGAGATTTTATAAGTCGTACATTTAAAGAATTTTTTTTGAATTAATTTTTTTCTTTTAATATTTATTATCTAATTGTATGCTTTCGTAAAATAATAAACTTGACATCGATCATAATAGCAAAACAAACAAATCTCCAAAAGTTCTGAATCTTCGACAACAAGTTTCATTTGTATCTTTCAAGAAAAATTTCAATCAATCAGAATGACTATCCTGTCGTCATTTTTCATGCAATAAAAATGTTAATTCTGTTGATTTATTTATACATATAATCAATATTTCATTCAAGGATTTTCTTGAAAAACAAACACAAATCGCGAGGCATTCTAAGAAAGATTAAATGATTATTGATAGATTATTATATACGCAGTTTTATATAAATCGGCTATGAGTAAAAATATTTATTATAAGAAGATTATCGATTGATAGACGATCGTTTAAATAATTAATGTATATTTCACAACAGAAACAAATACAGATAGAAATTCAATAGTTAGTTCGGCTTCAGTCATACATAGTACAATTGTTTCGATGTGATTAATATATAAATATGAGATTCGAGACTACATATTATGAATAAGAATATATCATAGTTAGATACGTTTTTGAAAAAATATTATAAGAGAAAATCAGAAATCGATTTTTTAGTTTCTGTTTATTTTCCATATTCACCAATAATTCATCAAAAGAAAATAAGTATTTTATTACTTTACTAAGGAAGATTTAATAAACGAAGTGAAAGGAATTTAGTGCCATCCTTTCTATTTTACTAATTTTACACATGACTTTCAGTTCTGATGAAATGTCATTTGTTTATTCTTGATCAATAAATATTTTCTCAATCTTGAAGACAAAAATAATTTACAATTGATTAGATTTGCTTGAGAACTCAAAGAACAACATTTATGTATGTTTTTGTCTAATTTTGTTTCATTCAAAACACCGAGAATCATATTGTATTAACCAAAAAATATATTTAAATGATTACTGTTCAAAATATCCATAATTAATTCAAAAAGTCATACATGTATTTGTAAATAGTGTTTAAAGATATTCAAATGCTCTTTAATAAAAGTCATGTAAGGAATTTAGGTACTTAGAAAAACAATAAATGACATAAATAAACATACACAATTCATTGTCATATGCTTAGAACATACACGAAAAGAAGTAGTGAGAACACTTCAATATTTTGTGAAAAGTTTGAACAAATTTTCTTTCTAGGTACAGTGATAGTAAAAATAGTGCTCGACATTGTATCATTCTTCATATATTATCATAATAATAAAATTTCTATGAGAGTTACTTTTTATATGTAACGATAAAAGTACAGCCAATTTCAAAGAGTGAAGGTGGAGAAATATATTGTGAATAAATGTTGATATAACTGAGATAGAGGGTAGTGGGTTTGACTTTATAAAGAGGAGATGATGATGCATCAACATGTATATGACAGTTTTTTTGAAAGATCTATAAGATAGTGCAAGGTTTAGACGTTTAGATTTCATTGTTTAGGGAGTTATATAGGTATTGTAAACAAAATTCAAAATCACTTCTGCTAGAAATGCCTATTTTTCAAAATCATTGTATTACTTTTTCCCATTGATAAAAAACTATTTTTTTGTTTTGCCATAGAAAATTGATTAAAAAAGCTTCAAAAAAAATATATTAGATTAAATAATAATATGTATATGGTTCGATGCTTCTTGTTCTCATCTTTCTAATGGTAAAAGTCATGACTTTCTACTTTTGTTCTGTCGAAAGCTAGTCACATATTATAACAAACAATTCTTATCGAAATTTTACTATTATGATATTATTTAGAGAAACATGAAATATAGCAAAATGTCAAGTAATAATTTTACTATCAGCACATAAAAAGAGAAACTGTCATCGACCTTTTTATATGATATTGAAGTGTTTCTACTACTACCCTTGATGTGGCTAGAGCACTTTGCTTTGCAAGATGAACTTCTCTATTATCTATTTATAACAAAACAATATTTAATTCTATTAGATATAAGGGTTGATCGACATTATTTTCGTGTACAAGTTTGTCTGATTTTCATAAACGACAAATAAAGTTCATGTTTTATCGCAAAATCCTTGATTGAAATAAGCGTCAGTGCATGAAAGTCACAATGATTTCACTCAGTTAAAGAGCTCAAAATTTTGCTTACATACTCATAAATTTAAGTGGATAGTGCTTTATAAACATATTTGAACGTGTTTGCATCCTAATAGTCGAAAAGAAAGCTATTTACACAATTATATGCTCTCAACTGTTGTATAAACCTTTGGAATAAACTTTATTCTGTTCAGTGGGTTGTGACTCATTGAAAATTTTCCCCTCCTACAGGCTATTCACTTAGCATAGATGTGCGTCGCCTCTAAATAAACAAGACGGGAGCATTCACTGGGAGAAAGCATTTTTGACAAGCAACGCAACTGTCCGATGAATGCACATTACTCTAATTGAAGAAATTTTTTTTTCGTCAATCTTTTTGTTATGTTTGTGTTTCTAAAATGTTTCTCACAAAATAATAAACCACATATGAACAATAATATAAAGTTGAAAAACTACGAAAGAATATTTATGAAGGCAATATAGTACTAGAAATATGTATATATTCATAGGATTGTTGTTTCAATCTTAATCTATTCTTTAATAGTCACAGTGGAGTTAATTAAGCTTTGAGTTAGCTCAGTTGACTATTAGGATAACTTTTAATTAAGTTTGATTACGATTCAATTCAGAAATTTAGCAAATAAGCATAAAAATGAAGTAATAAAATGAGCAGTATCTCATTCAGAATGAGTCTATCAATGAGTAAATCGTTTTTTTAATCTTAAATTGCAGAATATAATTTATACTCTATTTTTAAAAAGTTTTAGCAATAGAGTTTAACAGATGGTATGATAAAGACACAATTGCCCGGTGGATATATAGGAACAGAAACGAGTGCTGATGGATCGCTAAAATATAATTTACACTTGGTGTCAGAGTGTAGGTGACATTTATCTTTGCTGTTTATGTCTATCTGGAGGCGTGTGAGCAGATACATTTATGACTTTCATATAATCATTTATTAAAAATGTTTTGCGAGAAGTTTCAAAATTACATAAACGCTGAGGATGACAGAAGATAGTTTGAACTAACTTTATTATCTGATATACGGATATAAAAACCTGAACACAAGAGGATAGGAAGAGTATAACAGAGCAAACTAGTAGATCATCGAGTTTCCAAGGAGTCTCTAAAAAGAAATCTGTTTGTCTAACGCTACTAATGTTAGCTGACATATATCGAAAATGGCTAAAAATTTAATTCTTCACCTAAAACAACATGTTCCATAAGATAAAATAAATTTTACACGAATATAAAACTTATATTGTGCATCGTTCGAGGACAATAAATGGTGCTCCTTACATGCAATAACTCATAAATGCATTATCATGTGTCTGTTGATATATGAACTATTGAATTGTAATAATACTGCCGAAAATTACGAGAAGAGTACATTTCAAAATTTTTCTATATGAAATAGGTCCTCCGAACTATCATATGGATTGAATTTTCTTCCATACAATAGATAATTTCGTCAAGTCTTTTAACAATCGCTCACCATAGCTTTGCAATATTTTTTTTTGTCTTAACTAGTTCAGTTTTTGGCAATCTTACGACCTTGAATTTATTTAGGTCTTACCAGTAGTAAAGAAATCGTCTGTATTTTTATATGATGACTATCACGTTAGAAAACATAGAATAATTTCATGACATTGAAATCACCTGACTTGACTCTATTAACCCATTTTTTCTAATAACATTGAAGAAACGACCCGTGAATATAATAAGACTACATAATCAAAAGAACGTAAAGGTCAAAATAAATATCAGAATCAAACTGAACTTATTAAAAAACAAAAGCACTGCATGAAAATTTTTTGCTATTAGCAAACGAACACATTTTCTCTACAATAAGACTTTGTTAGAACTTTGAATAAACAAAAACTAATAAAATATACATTGAGATCAGACTTAGACATCGTCTTCATCCGCATAGTCATCCACTTCAATGTCACTAGGAAACAAGTGTGGTGAGAGCATCTGTCTGCGATGCAGCATTCATATAACTCTTTTTCAAGTCTTTATGAAAATAAAATCTTGATATTAATTATCATAGACAAAAAAAATTCTTACTATCGTTGATTAAAAACTTATGTATTTATATGGCAAAGTCGATCACTTCAAGAATGGTCTACATGTATAGACAAGCACTTCAAATATGTTCACATACAAGTGCATTTTTCGAAACTATCATTCTTGAATAAAGTGTCTTGAAATAGAAAAGATATCAAAAACTTTTCGCTACACTTAATTAAATGATGCAGAAATAAGTTCGCCCAATAATATCAAAAAATGTCAGTTGACTTATAATGCTTATAGAAAAATACTCGGAAGAAATTCAGAGAACTAAAATTTCTGCTGATTTACAAAAGAAATCAATATCTGCTGGCTATGCACTTGTGAGATAATCCTAAATTTTCCTCTCAGAAACACCAAGAAAACTGAGTTTTCAATTTTCGACTTGAAAATTTAGGTAGAGACATTTCTTAACGAGCATAGTTTATCGTGAGAGGTTCAGATCATTTTGTTCTTCTTATTCTAAGATACGACTATAATAAAAGCACGTTTTTAACTTCACCCATCTATATCGATAGATTCTGATATTCTTGTTTCGGAATAGAAGAATCAAAAAAAAATAATCTGAAGCTTTCATAATAACTTATTTCCATTGAAGCCACCATTTGTGCCAAGTTTCAAGTCAAAACTTGAAACTCAATCATCTTAGTGTTCCTGAGGGAAGCACGGTATTGTACTAAAAATATCGTAAAAACTTCAATAACGATGGAATAATAGCTCGAACTTTTCCTCCCGAGATATGTAACTGATTACGATCTACATGATGCACATTATCCTGACTCAAAAATGATTTGACATTTGAATATGTTCCCTCGTCAGAGACGACAAAAGCAAAGTCTTTCTGATAATCGTAGGACCTCTCATTCAGAATTTTGTGTATATGAAAGTTATAGTTTAACATAAAAATTGGTATGAAAACTCACAACAGATGTCACTAGTAAACTTTAAGTTAAATTGTGATCATCAGCGCTATTATTCTAGAGGCAATTTTTTCTTGTTATCATTTAATGGCTTTTGCACTGACGAAATATTTTTTGTCTATCTTACTTCATACATAATAGAATAATTTAGTTGTATTTGATTACAATTTATTATCAAAAATCATGGTTTCAAATACGAAAAAAGAAAAAAGTTCAAAACAATGTACGTATATTAAATGAATTAAATGTAAATATATTTATTTTTATACTTTTTACTTAGACAAACATCGTAGTGATCATGATCGTGTTGAAAAAATTCGAGAACGTGAACGTCGTTCACCATCTAATGATGATAAATCTCGATCACCAACACCAACAAAATCAAATACAAACGATCCATCAAATGGTACACGTGAAGGCACTGAACGTACATCATTGTCAATCGACGAAACAAATAAGTTACGTATTTCAATTGGTCTTAAACCATTAATAATTGATGATCATACAACCACAGATTCAGATACGACAAAAAAAGGTTTAAATAGTGATGAAAATTTTGTTCATCGACCAGCAATAAACTTAACAGAAAAAAAACGAACAGAACAAGTTACAGAAAAACTTAGTGTACATAGAGAAAAACGCAAGTTACAAGAAAAATTTCTGTACGTATTTCGAAATATTTCGATATAATTGAAGATTTTTGTGTTTTATTTTCTTTTTCATAGTTCAACACCAATTATAGCATCTGAACCAGTTGAATCAGCCACATCATGGGTTGAAAAAATGCGTCAGATGGGAGAAGAAAAACGTAAAGCAGCTGAACGTGTATGTATCGATATAAAATTAAATTCAAATAATAAACTTTATTTTATTATTTTTACTTAAGGCTAAATTACTGGAACAAATGGATGAAGAATTTGGTGTTAGTAACGTAATACATGAAGAATCGGAGAAACAAAAACAAAAGGTATTAATAAATAGTTGTGCACTCAGGTTTTTACAAATCTCTAGAAAGAAATATCATGTTTTAGTCGTTTATATCTGTTAGGTTTCTCAAACATAAGTATGTAATGTTTTGATATATATGATGAAAACAAAGACTCATTTGCCGATCAACTAATAATCTGCTTGTGAATTCGAACTCTGTGCATAATGTGAACTCCAACGAGATATAAAGAATCTCCAAAGGATAAGTTCTCTTAAGTCTTCTATTCAGAGTTATAGATATTGTACTGAAGTTTGAGTCTCAGGCATGTTTCGTACCAAACTCAACAAATAGAATCACGGCGTATCAACCTAAAATTGTGTCTACAGACAAATTTATCTTTTAGTAGAATGTTCTTAAAATTTCAGCTCAAAAGAATATATTTCATACAAGAAGCAAAAATTTTCTATATTTGTGGGACTTAAATATTTCGAGATGACAATATTCTTTTGAGCTGAAATTTTCAGGATATCCGCAAACAGATTTGTCCGTGGGCGCAATCTTAGGTCAAAATTCTGTCATTCAATTAGGCGGTTTATACCATGCCAGAGACTAAGACTCTATTAAAATGCCTGTAACTTTCAACGGAAGATCTAATGGAATTTATTCTTTTGCCGGTTTTCGTATTTGACTGGATTCTACCTTATCCACTGAGATCGATTTCAAAAGCGATTCCTCGTTAGCTTTTCACACAAACTTGAATTTGATTCTTACCAAAAAAAAGTTTACCTCAAGTAACACAGTTTTAGTTGAGCTTTTTAAAAAACGACCTATTTGTAGCCTATTTTCCAACCGATGAAGATCGGCTGGATAGAATCGTTTACAACTCTGTTACAGCCGTGAGCAATAGTCCACCTTCTAAATATTTGAATTAAATTTCATAGTTCTTATTTATTTCAGAGATATACATCAAAAAATTTGTCTGGTCTTCGTGTTGAACATTCAATTGAAGAATTTAAAGAAGGACAACAAGTTATTTTAACATTAAAAGATAAAAGTAATGTTAATCATTTTCATTGAAATAATTATATTGATTTATTTTTTATTTAATAGAAATTATAAATGATAAAAAAGACGATGAAGATGATGATAATGATAATGATGAAGATGTTTTAATTAATGTTAATATTGCTGATAATGAAACAGCAAAAGAACGTGCTGAATTAGCAAAAAAGAAAACACCTGGTTATCGAGCATACAATGAGGATGAAACAGTAGATCAATTTGGAATGGTTTGTTTCGTTTTTCAAAATTAATTTATTCATAATGAAAATATTTTTACTTTTTTTTGTAGCTCAATCCAAATAAATTACTTGAACAATATGATGACAAAAAGAAATCATCTTTTCGACTTGGTAAATAGATTAACCAATAATTAAGTTTAAAAATTACAAAAAAAAACAATTTTTTATTTTATTATAGAATCCGATGGTGCTTATGATATGTCTGATGAAAAGGTCATGGATGCAATGAAACAAGAAATTCGAGCACGAATGCAAAGTTTAGCAGTACCAACACCAAAAGTAGCTAGTGAATTTTATACAGCTGCTGAACTGGTAAATAGAATTAATTTTCTTTTTCTTAGAAGACAAGAATTCATTCGGATATTTTTTTTTTTTGTTTTCATAGGAACAATTCAAAAAACCAAAAAAGGTAACTAAGAATAAACTTCGATCACGGAAAATGCTAAAGGCTGACGACCTACTAGCAATGGATAGTAGTGAACCACGAGAATCATCATCAACAACAACATCGGTATCTTTACGTCCGGCTGAAACACGTCGACCCACTGCTATCGTATCGACATCAAAGTATGTATTCAGGGTTTTCTTATCTGAATTGTTAGAAAATTTTGTTTATTATTTTCTAGAGAGCGTCCGGCTACTATTTCTCTTGATAAAGTCAAACGAAAAATTATAACAACAACTGCAACAGAAGATGGTGAGTGTTTCCTTTAGAAAATCTCTTAATTAAGATCGAAATAGGAAGCTTTATGAAATGAATCATTCTGGTCAGTGAATATATGGAATAGGCGAAAATCATTTGACATTAAGTTTCAGCTATAAGTAGATTTCAGTGAGATTAATTTAAATTTTCAAGGAAAACGAACATATGTTCCTCGAAATATTTCATTTCGAAAAGAATTTATTTATTATAGGAGTTCCCAATAATCTAGCCTACTAGAAAAATTGAATATCTCAAGAAAGATATGATTATTTTCATTGCAATTGTCAAGTCAAAACTCTATGTTTTCGATTTCTCAAAAATGCTTGGCTCTCAGTAAAAATTCCACTGCAACGATAATAACTCTTATTTAGTAAGCCATAAAGATTAATCCTTTTAGGGACTTTTCTTAGTCTTGTAGCGATTTATACATTGCCATGATATGAAGTGTAATGATGCTTAACTGTGGTCTAGTTTTGGCTATTTGAGCATATTTCATACATTTGATAAACATAGACGTCTTACTATCACTTAGAATATATGATTATAAATCTTTTTTTTTTTATTGTAAAAGATTTATCTTTATTTAGAGGATATGGTGGGTCCTGATAATGATCTTTCCAATTTTGCTGTTGAAGATGATGCATACGATGAACTTCAAACTGTCATTAATAAAACAATGAAGCTCAAAACAAAGAAAGACAGTATTTCAGCTGAAAAGGTATGAATTAATTCTAATCGTGTTCAAGTTAAAAAAAAAGAAAGTCTTCACAATTTTTTTCTGATGGTAAAAAGTACGTTTTACTTGTAAACGAATTACATGATGATCTTTCATCATAGTTTTCTTTTTTCGCTAATATAATACCGAATCCGATAACTGCTGTACCATTTTATTACATTTTTTATATCCTATGAGAAAATCGATTGTCAAAAAACCCATGCATACAGTTCGATGCTATTTTTCATGCTTCATTCAAATACTAAATCAAACTAGAAAGAATGTGCATCAGATTGCCAGAAATCCTCGGAAAAAAATCTAAGAAGTACGCCAGATCCTCAACATTTTACATCGAAATTGCGCAAATCTAAATCGTAGGTAATGTTCCGAACAACTCTCTAATATATTTCTTAATAAAAACAAATGGTGTTATCAGCAGTTCTCTTTTTTACAAGACATTGCGTAAACTATATAAAACAACATGGGCTACTTTTGAAGATTTATTGCAAGAAAGAGAAACTCTCAGTAATTACGAAAAGGTTCTGCTTCATGTATCATTTGTCATAATGATTGATAAAAAAAAAGAAAGAGAACACATTTGTTAAGTTCTATTTAAAACCAATAGGTAAACATAACAACTTTTTTTCTATTCATTTAGGCGTTAAGCGAATTAATCGAAGAACGTGATCGTAAATTAAAAGTTGAAATTAAATCTGAACCTATGGAAGTTGGTATCATTGTTCCGCCAAGTACTATTCCTCCTGACGATAAGAGTCTTGTACTTGATACAATGTCTGAATTTTGTCGTAATGTTGGTGAAAATACGATTGATACACCATCAGCTGTACCAAAATTACGAACATCAGCAAAAATAAAACGTGCTAATGTTCAAGCAAGTAAAAAATCATCATCAAAAACAAATGTAGCATTAGATCCTGATGATGAATTATTACAACATGCACTTGAAAATGAAGATCTTGATGATGATGTTATGGATGATACACCAGCTGAAGATGTTAATACAAAACCCTTTCGTCTTGAAGAATCAATTTTACCTGATGAACCAACACTTGATCGTGGTCTTGGTAGTGCACTTCGACTTGCTTTGCAAAAAGGTTGGTTGTTGTTGTTGTTGTTTTTCATATTATAGTATAACATATGGATATTTTTCATTTTGTTTAAATAGGATACATTGAACAAGAAAAAACTCGTCAAAATGCTCGTTTTGTTAGTGATATTTCAGCTAAACATTATACAATTGAAGAGAAAAATTCTTAGTAAGTATCAAGAATTATTCGTTTGTTTTCTTTTTCACTCGATAAATATTATGAAAAACAAAAGTATATCTCGGAAATATTATTAACATATTCTTATTAAACTGAAATTTTAATATATCTTAACAAATCTCGAAAGCTCTACATTCATTTTCATTGTAGAAAAGCCTTATTTTCTTATATAGTCACTTCCAGAGATGGGCAGCTCCGCTCCAGGAGCTGGAGAGGAGTCGGAGCAACATTTTATGTATAGCTCCAATGATAAGCTCAGTTTTCGATTTATTGTTCTATACAAAATGACGGAAGAATTAATGAGAGAAAGCTCGTCATCGGCGAATTATCGAAATGGATAGCCCATTGTGACATTTTAGTCAATGGCAATCTCTGAAACAATGACTGACCGTTTATATACAGTCTTCTTCTTTGTCTAATTGAACTAAGCTATTGTTACTTTGGAAATGGAAGAAAATGACGTCGAGAAAGAGAGAAATTGCATAATATAAAATGTGAAAGGTGAATAGTGCCGAATCACAATAACATTTCTCAGCTAAGTGTCACTTGAACGAACACGATTATCATGGCAAAAAAAGTGCACGATCATGGTATTGATGAATCAACTTCCGTTACTATCGTCGACAATAACGATTCAGTGTCATCATATAATGAAAAAACAGCGAGTACCATTCTTGAAAAGTAAACGTTCTTCATATTATATTATAACTAAGTTAAATATATTGTTAATCAATTTGTTCTTTTTTTGTACTTTATATACATGCTTCTATATCCAGACTAACACGAGAAATTCACTGAACACAGCTAATCATAAAGGATAATTAAGAAAATTTGTTGCAGGAGCGGAGTCGGAGCGGATTTTTTTAATTAAGCGTAGAGCTGGAGCTGAGCGGGAGCGGATACTTTCGGAGAGGAGCGGAGCTAGAGCCAGTGGCGCAACCAGGAATTTTTTCCGGGGGGGGGACCATCATAGAGAAAAAGTGATTTTTTGCTTGTGAAAACGAATATATCTGTACCCCCCTCCAGTGATTTAGATCTTCCAGGGGGGGATTGGTCCCCCCAATCCTCTCTCTGGTTTCGCCACTGGCTAGAGCGGAGTCGGCAGAATATTTCTTAATCTTGAGCGGAGTCGGAGAGGAGCGGTCTGTTATTGACTCGAGCTGGAGCTGAGCTGGAGATAGAAATGGTCGGAGCTGCCCATCTCTGGTCACTTGATATCAGGTATACCGAACTAGTTTAGACAGTATGGATGATTATAGTAATTACCCTAGTGTTGTTTCAGTTATACAAGCAATCATAGAAGTATCCTAAAGATATTTCAAAAAACAAAAACTGTATGATTTTAACAACTCATAAATATAATCATATTTCTTTTTAGTGAAATTGACGATAAACATGCTCGACGAGATCGTTATACATCTGGACCATTAACTGATTTCAAAGAAAAAGAACATTATCGTCCTGATGTTAAACTTGAATATGTTGATGAAGGTGGTCGACGTATAAATGAAAAAGAAGCATTTCGTTTACTTTCACATCGTTTCCATGGTAAAGGTAGTGGTAAAAAGAAGACTGAAAAACGAGCTAAAAAATTAATCGAAGAAGAGGTAAAAATTTCAATAAAGAAAATAATACAATAAAAAAAATTCTAATTTATTGTTGTTTTTTTTTAGATGATGAAAAAAATGTCAAGTGTTGATACTCCATTACAAACATGTAATTTATTAAAACAAAAACAAATTCAATTACAACAACCATATATCGTTTTAAGTACTAATCGATCTAAAGATTCTCAACTTCCACCTGGGTATTTAAACAAATAATATTATACTTAAGAAAATTAATGATTTTCTCTTTTATTCTAGAAGTATTACTAAGAATTGACGTTTTTCTTTTTTTTTTCATTTTTGTTTGTTGTTCTTGTCGTATTGTATATGAATTAAACTAAGCAAATAAAAAAATATTAAAAGTATCTTTTTCTTTTAATTTTATTTCTTTGTTTTTGTATGTTCGTATTGAATAGTTTTTTTCATTTATCAATCTATGTTCTTCTATCTATAGAAATGTTATGAGCCAGTCTATTATTGTGCCTCCTGTTCATGATACGTCACCGCCACCATTTGACGATGATGTGGATGAAAATGATCTGATTCCAACTATACAAAATGATGGATTCTTATCATCGGCTTCTTCCGATGTATTGAATAATAGTAATGATGATTGGAAATCAATAGATAATAATAATGATACTGAAATCGCTCAAATTCAAGATGATAAATCAATAGTTAATGATGAAAATATTTTACCGAATAATCATATAATAAATGATGAAAATATTTTACCGAATAATCATATAATAAATGAAGAAAATATTTTACCGAATAATAATATAATAAATGAAGAAAATTTACAAGAAGAAAAAACCAATGATGTTTGGGTAAATTTTGCTACATTCGAAAATAAATCTGGTGATATTCCAGAGGCGAATCATTTAATAGAGTTTTTTTTCTTTCATATTCATAGACACATTAAAAATATTAAGAAAACTTCCTATTCAGTATGTCAATATAATAGAAGCAAAGAATATTGTTTTACGTCAATTGAATAAAAATGCCACAGACGAGAAGACTATTATCCCAACTAGAACTAAAGATTGTAGTTAGATGTGATACGAATAAATTCTGAGGTAGTTTTCTTTAGACTGGATCGAAAAACCCACTGGTTTTGTTCATGTATAGTTCCATTAGCGGCTAGTGCTAACCATAAATCACTTGCATTTATGACTGAAACATCAGAGAAATCTTATAAGACTTCTTTGTAAAGCTAATAAGTATGCAATTTTAGACTTTTCCTGAAACAACATCAACCAACATTGAAGAAAATACTGAAAATGGTTGGGCTGATTTTGAATCCAATACAGTGCCAGTCTTTGAATCACCAATACCATCAACCACTGATGAACCAACCACTAAAGAAACAGCAGAAGAAGATGATGATTTCGGTGAATTTAGTGAAGTACAAGTTGCTCCAAAACCTCAAGCATCCACTGTATCAACTGTAAATTCATTTATCTATATTTTTATTTGAAATTAAATTAATTCTTCTCTATATAGAATATTTTAAGTACTGAACAAATTGAATCTTTAATCTCGGTATGTTTTCCTGTAGAATCTTTAACATCATCGACAAATGATGATTCTTTAATATCTACTGACTTACCTTCTTTTACTACTTATAAAAACCCAACAAAACAAATATTATGTCTTGAATCTAGTCTATCGTAAGTATTTAATTATTCATAAATAATATCTTAATATTTATTTTTCAAGTTTATGGGATACTTTATCAAATATATCAAATGATCCAATAGGAATTAAATTTCAATGGCGTAAATCTAATACAGAACGTATATTTCATCAAGCATTAGGAGTTAATGAACGTTTTCGTGTATGTGATTTTTTTTTCATAAATCATATTTATACCAAAAAAAAAACACTTTCTTATTAGACAAAAAGTGTTCCATTAACACCAGAAGTTTTACAACCAGAAAAACTCAAACAAAATACTTCAACAAATAACGAATCAGAACACATTGATAATGAAAATAAAGTAAAATATTTATCATATATAATAAACAAATCGTTTCTTTTATTTTGTGAAACACGATCTAAGAGAAATGTTGAAATATAGTGTTAAGAATTTAGACATTCAACAAGCAAAAATCAGCCACTATTACTAGAGCTCTATCGGGTTGGTCCAAGTCAAATTTTGATTAGAAAATTTCATTGCAAGTATCAAAGTACAGCTCGATTAGGCTCAGATTCAATAAGCTCTAACCATAACAGACGCTAGTCAGAAATCTTTATGACTGTTGTTTATATACGATCAAAAGCAGTATGTCAATAATGTTTTGTTATAATATATGACCTACTTTCTTATTACATTTCTGAAAGATTAAGTAAAGAGATGGTAAAGAAATGTGTCCTGAAATAGATAGAATAAAACAATCTTCTTGTGGTTAGCCACAGTGATTACATCGTGTTTCACATTTTAATCCATTAAATATTGTGTTAATCGATTTTCCTTGATCAATTTAGTTATCAACTGAAACTATTCGTCCACATTTTGATTGGAAACAAAGTGGCTTAGAAAATCCACTTACAGGTAATCATTTTTAACTCATTCTTTTTTATTTGAAAAACATATAAAAAAGAATAACATAAAAACAAGAAAAAAAAATCGATTATCCATATATATTAGATAATGATAGTCCATGTAATTCGTCGAATATCAATAAAGATGAGGATAATGGTAAGTTAAGCGCACGTAATTAATTCAAATTAATTAAACAATTTCTTTTAATAATAATAAATGAATGCTCTTGCATGTGGCTACTAATACAAACGTTATTTAAAAGAAAAAGAAAAACGTCTCCATTAGAAAAAAAAAACATTATATTCTTTTTCTTTTTATAGTTTTCGACGCAAATAAAACACTTGATCTGGATTTTTATGTTCCAACAACAAAATCTTTCAATGAAGACGAACAAACAACAACTCCATCATCTACTCAAGGAACTGATAGTCCTATTATTCAACGGCAACAACAAAAACAACAATCAAATTCAATACCAATTAAAACAATGGATCTATTTCCTGGCTCAACAACAATATTAAATGATGATGCTAAACGTATAATTGATAGTTTACCTAATTTAAATTTTATGAGTGCCAAAGCACTGATGTTTCCAATACGATTTAATGCAAATAATAATGATGAATCAACAACATTGTACTAATTTAATTTATCTTCTTATCAAATACAGTGACATGATCAATTGATTTAATCTAAGGGAAAAATACAATACTCATTTTATTTATTTATTTTTTTTTCAATTAGGGGAGATATATGATTAACTGTTTTCTTTTTCTTCTGTTTTTTTTGTATAAGTGTATTGTCGATTCTTTTTTCTTTCGGGTCAGCTTTCGATTAAAAACAAACAATTTATGTAAAAATATACAAAAAATTATTTTCTTTGTTTTATTCAAAAACTAGAAAAAAAGGTCGAATGGTATTAATATATATACAGAAAATAATGCTGTCTTTTTCTAATCATTTTCTTTTCTATGTTGTTTAACGAGATTTGCCATTTCAAGCATTGCTTCAATTAAACCTTCACCGGTTACTGCACAAGCTGGTTGAATATACCATTTATGTTTAGCACGTAATTCATTTACACCTAATTTTTGGATAATATCCGATGGTTTCATTGCATCTATTTGTAACGGAAATTTTAGGAAAATATGTTCATAATAATTATTCGAACTTACTAGGTAAATCTTGTTTATTCGCTATGACAACTATTGGTACAGAGGACATATCATATGATGAAAGAATACCATGAAGTTCTTCTCGTGCTTCATCAATTCGATCTTGATCACTACTATCAACAACGAATATAAGACCATCGGCACCTTGATAATAATGTTGCCAGAGACGACGAATTTTTTCTTGACCACCAACCTGATTAAGAAAAGAGAAAAGAAAGTTTAAGATTAGAATTGAATATCAAATATGATTGGTTTTTGTGTCAAATACATACATCCCATACAGTAAATGAAACTCCACGACATGGACTCACTTGTTCAACATTAAAACCTACAATGAAAATAATAAAATATTTTATTATATTTATATGTGAGTGTAAATGCATACCAATTGTAGGAATAGTTTGAAGATTTTCATTAAGTTTAACTTTATATAGAATTGTTGTTTTACCGGCTGCATCAAGACCAAGCATTAAAATTCGTGATGGTTTTTCTGTACCCCATGCAGAGAGAACATCATACATTCGACTGAGAAAAAGACCCATTGCCGTATATTATTTGAAGTATGAAGCAGATGAAAGTTGTTTTCGATTCAATACCTCATGAACCGTCACTATTTAACGAGTTTTTTAGCCATTGCCACGTCGTATAAGACACGTCAACATCGCTGTGAAGAGACAAATATATATTTATGATTCAGCTTAATGTAAAACGTTGTGCGGATTCTCTCACCTGGCCAACGTGTCGTAGAGTTATGACTCATCCATTATTAATATTATGTTGAAATAACATAAGGACGAAAAGAAGTAAAAAACTTTTTGTTTTAGAGAAAAGAAAGCGATTTGTTTCATGTAGATGATAAAATAATGAAATGACAGAGCAATGCGATAATATCATGATGTATTTCAAATGCTCGTGATACAACCGCTATTATTCTTTTAAAAAAGCAAGCGCTATTTAGATAAGACTTCAAATCAAAGTTTGTACAGTAAAACAAACACAAGTTATTGCAATCAATTGAATCAATCATGCATATAATTCTCCCGATATACGATGTTTTTTTTTTCTCGTGAATAAATAGACTATATCGTCCTTTATTTGTACGGAACTGCACTCTGATATTCTTAAGTATTTGTGTAACAGTTTTTTTCAAATAATACTTCAATTAGAAGAAAATGTTTTTTTGATGTATTGTTTTTTAGAAACATAAATTTTAGTTTATTACATATAAAATATTTTTATATACAGAAAAAAAAACAATAACAATAGGTTAAAATAAAACTTTAGTTATCAGTTATTTTTTTCTATTGTCTTTTATCATTTGTGCTAGTTGTTGCATTGCTTCAACAACACCATCACCAGTAGTAGCACAAGTTGATTGAATAAACCATTTTCGTCTTGGAATCGAATGAAGATTAAGTTGTTGAATAAGTTCACTTGGTTTAACAGCTGTTGGTAAATCCGATTTATTAGCTATGATAACAAATGGTACTGAACACATATGTTCATCTGTAATAATACTAAATAGTTCATCACGTGCTTCTTGGAATCGTTCTTGATCTGATGAATCAACAACAAAAATAAGACCATCAGTTTTATCAAAATAATGTCTATATAATGGACGAATTTTATGTTGTCCACCTATATCCCATACTGTAAATGTAATACCAGGTGCAGGTGTTACTGTTTCAACATTAAATCCTAGAATATAGATAAAGACATTATTTATCAAAGTTTCAATATGATTATTTACCAATTGTTGGAATAGTTTGAACAGTTTCATTAAGTTTTACTTTATATAAAATAGTTGTTTTTCCCGCTGCATCAAGCCCAAGCATTAGAATTCGAGAAGGTGTGCCATAAGAAAATGACAATAATGCCTCATATAATCGACTAATAAGAAGACCCATTGTTTTTCAGAAAAAAGAAATATTTTGTTTTTTGTCTTCATATAAATTCACAACTAATATATATATATAGTTGAAAAACAAATCATTCAACGTGGAAATGTCAACGTGGACACAATGATTGCTGTAGTGTTCTCTTACGTTTGAATATATTGAATGACGTAGACATATGTTGAGTAATACCTTGAAATTTCAAAGTATTTTAGATGATTGCTAATAGTAAAACGCTTTGGCCTTTAGTAGCAGCCGTTGGTCTTGGCATTAGTTTTGTTGGATACTGTGTATATTTTGATCGAAAATGGCGAAGTGCACCTGATTTTATTGAAAAATTAAAAGTCAGTAAGTCTTTAATACGAAAAAAAAAATTTCTTCTACAACGAAATTCGTCCATTTTGAATTTAGAAAGACAAAAAAACAGTCAAATGCTAGAGGAGGAGGTTCACGTACAACTGTAAGAAATTTTTATTTTAAATATTATTCGATGATTTCTATTAGATGGATATGAGTAATCCTGAGATAATGCGTCGATATTTTCTTGAACAAATTCAACAAGGTGAAGATTGTTTATCTTGTGGTAAGTATCATCTGTTCCTTTTTTTTGTTTTGTTGCTTATTTATTAAGAATTTCAATAGGTGATATTGATAATGGTATTGAATATCTAGCAAAAGCTGTTGTCATTTGTAGTCAACCTCAAAATTTAATGGAATTCTTTCAACAAACACTATCATCTGAAATATTTCAAGAATTAATCAGACGTTTACCAAGAATCGCTCAAGTATACTTTAAAAATCTTTCTTATTAGATAGAAAAAAAAAATTTTTTTCATATTCTTTTTCTTTCTTTTTAGTCCGTTCATAATCGGTCTTTATTATCTGCCGATGGTAGTAATGCTTTTGTGCCTGAATTAGATCTTGAATAGAATGAACAACAATATCTATATTTCAACCAATACTATGATGTTTTTTTTTTAATCAATGAAAATCTGCTTTGTTTCCTTTTTTGTTTTGTATTTGTTTAATCTTCCAGTTAGTTGCTTGTCAATGGGTTTATTTATAAACATGTATGATGAGCAAAAATAGATAATATGACAAGAAAATGATACTCTATTCTTTTCTCTATTATTTGTCAAAAACATGACAGATATTTATAAACACAGAATTGATAACCTATGGAAACTGCCAACTTGCAGCTACTACTGTTGATAAAAAAAAAATGAGCTTTTTGAATAATGAATGTTCTTACGGGCACTTCTTTTCTTTCTTTTTTCCTTCATCACATTTCATCAGTCGAGAAAGTTTAGGTATTACTTTTTTGAAAAAATATGACTAACAATAAAGATATTGTACGTAGTTATTTACAAGACAGATCAACATCTCAACATAATAATACATCAATGAAAACAAAATCATTAACAGAAATCAATACAATATGTGAAAATGATTATTCAAATCGACATGATTCAATGATTACACCTTTATTTATTGCAAAAGATCGAGAAAAACAAGTTTATCGTTCAATATCAAATGATACACATTGTTTTAATGTGGTTGATTATCAAATACCATATTCACAAACAACACATATTCCTAATCTAATATTAGAAAATAGTAATAAGCAACAAGATAAACAACCAATGTTTCCAAAATTAACACCAAGAGTAAGGATAAAAGACTATTTTTTGTTTTCAATAAATATACATCTATTGTTTTATTTTATTTTTTTGAAGACTAAGACTTCAGTAAAAACATTTCCACTTTTAATACCCAAAAGTATATCTTCAAATGTTGATAACAATAGTTCAATGCCAACAATAAGAACATCATTAAAACCAATATCATCTGCATTAAAAAAATCTTTACCAACTAAAATACCAAATGTTTCAACTGAAGATCAAAAAAAACTTGAAACTACGAAACATTTACATTATCAAGAATGATGAACTTTTCTTTGAACATCACTGACATCTTTCGAGTTAACTTTCATGTTTTGTTTCATCTTGAACAATTTTTTTTTCTTTTATTTATTTAATAATAATAATAATAAAACATTCTTATGTATATAGTTATATATATATATCATGCACATAAAATTTCATATAAAGGTTTTCACTCAGCAATAGGCTTTCTCACATGAGTATGAACAATTTCTCTAATTGATTTGTCCTTGAAGAAAAAAAAGAAATACAAATCATTAAAAATCTAAATATTGACAGTAGAAGGTACAGCAATATATTTTCAATGCAAATTAATTAGAAATCAATTTATTTAGAATAACTGTTTACAATACTCAAAAATAAACAAAATGAAAAAAATTTCTCCATATTCAAATAATGATATGGTTGAGCTAGTTTCTTTTTATTTTCTACATCATCAAAAAGAAAAATTTAATTAAATAATTTGATTTTACTTCAATTGAAGTGAAACAAGTGAAAAAAAAAACTAATTTTATTTAGTGCAGAAAAATTATCATGATAATTCACGGAGTATACGTCGTTTTGAATTATATAATGTCAGTCATAAACAATATATTTTTAACAATTAAACATAAAGAATTACATGCTTCAGTATAGAACAAATTTTTCAAACGAAAATTTTCCATTTAAATTACAAAATTAATCGAAAACTATTTAATGTATGTTAAAAAGAAATTTATTATTTTTCTTTTCATAGAAAATCTTTTTTTCTTTCCTCAGGTTTATTTTTTTTGTTGTCTTACTGATGTACCAAACAAAAGTATGGCAAAATGAAGATAATCCATTTTGAAAAATATATTTATTTTAAAAAGTAAATATAAAAATTATTTATCTATTATTTAAAATCATGAAGACAAACATTTTCTAAGAATAATAGATTCTATAAAAAACAAACAATGTTGAAAATATTTTTAGTAAAAGCTTTAATATTTTAAAGAAAATTAATAGTTAATAAGTCATCAAATAAATTGTTCTTTTTTTTCTTGTTGTGAAAACAAAGTATTCGAAAAAGAATAAGAATTCGATATGATGGCGTTTACCATTAAATACTGCACTGATATAGAACACTTTCAACAAAATACAAAATTATTTCTTGTTTTTCTTTCAGATTGATAATCTTGTTTCATAGATGTGTGTTTGAAAATATAATTATAGAAAAAAATTTTTACCATATTTATCATAAAAGTTATTCAACCGTCTTCCTTCACTATTTACGCTTCTTCGTTTTTTTAAAGACAGCACGGTCCGATATGTTGTATAGTTAATCAATTTAAATCCTATCAAATTAATGAGATTTTCTAAACTTTGTTCTTATGAATAGAAGACATTGTATTAATAATTATCATGTAAAAGGAAGTTTTTAAATAAACAGCAAATAATAATAATGACAAAATTTGATTTATTATGATTTTGTATGCGTAGATTTTAATGCAAATATATTTTTTATTTTAGTTTAAAAAGTTTTCATTTGATTTTTCTAGAACAAAATAATGTTTAAAATACTCTTTGTTTTTTTTTCTTTGTGATTATTTATTCTGTTAATATGTTTTTTTTGTATAATCTATTATAAATTTGTTTATTTGTTATTGTTGAATAATTTTTTTAAGAATTTTATCAATAATTATTTTTTTTACATAAGTCTTCATGTTTTGCTTAATCATGATAAAATATTTTTATTGAAAGAGGTATTATAATAATAGATGATACAATTTCACAGAGGTTTTTACACATATATTTCTGTTATTCGTTTCGTATGAATAATTTTTATTTGGTGCATAACAATAAAAAAACAAAATATTGTTTGTTTTATACATACATGAAAAAATGAAAACTATATGAATAAGTTATTTCTATCTGACATAAGTATAAATGAATACATCAAATTGAGTTATAATTCTATTTTTTGAAAATCTTCTTCATCAAATAAGTGTTCATCAGAATCATTTCCATAATGAATAAAATGACCTTCGATTATTTGAATAGGTGGTAAACGTGGATTTATCGTATTACGTGAACGTCTAAAGTACTATTTCGACATGGATTATTTTAGAATGAAACCTATTACCTAATTTTTTCATCATTTTTTATATTCTCAGTGTCACCTTCGTTAAATTGAACAATATCTTCTTTTATAAAATCATGCGATCGAAATAAATCATCTGAATTGCTTTCATTTATTATAAATTGTCCTTCGATAGCAACTGATTGTTCTAGAAAAAAAACCTATATTATCATATCAAAAGCAGTAGCTCACATACCATTATTTTTCGGAGTGTGTTTTATTGAGATGCCAGCAGGCGTCTGAGACTGGATAATAGTAGCAGGTGGAACTATTTTTAAACTATCAGTGGGATATATGAGTGCATCGACAAATATAATCAATAATAACATTTTTGATACAGCAAATAAAAATGATATAGAGTAAAACATGCTTTGTGTCTGTCAACGGAATCTTGTTCTTTGCCTTGAAGAAGGAAAGATAGAAAGAAAGAAAGAAAAAAAAAAGAAAAAAGTACTAATACGACTGTTATTATTGTTGTTTTTTTCCTACTTTGTTGAAGAGGAAAAAATAGAATGGAAGAACATCAACAAGTGTTTTTTTCCTATGTTTAAAAAAAAAAGAGAGAGGTCCACATTATTTTTTTCTATATATAATTGAATTGCTTTTGACATTTTCACATTTGATAAATGATGAAAATTTTTTTTTTGTATAGAAATATATTTATCGATTTTTTTTAATTTAATGGTGTTATTTTTATTTTATGCGTAGAAATACATTATGATTCTTGTTTTTTTTATCTTTTCTTTTCTTGTCATGTCAATGTGAAGTCTTATATAGTTATGAGTAGAAGGGGAAAAAAATAAACGTCATTTTAATGATCGTAAAAAGCTTCGAACCATTGATTTATACAATATTTTTGCATCACATCATTTTATGAATCATATTTTCCTTACAGAACATAAAAGTAAAAAACAAAAAAGCATATAATTCATACTGTTCTCATTCTTCGATGTCAGACATTCATCTACAATCGATTATCATTTTATTTCGTCTTTATATACTTTCATTTGTTTTTGACAATATTCAAATGCGTAATGTCTTGCATTTTTAGATATATTGATTCCTACGTATACTAGTTATATGTTACACATATATATAATTTTTGATGTAATGTAAATTATTTTCATTCGATTATTTATTTTATAATGACGGAAACAACGAGTGTATCAGGAACAACAACTCGTGCATCAAAACCACTTGATACAGTATATCCTCATTATTTTAATACATTTCAAAATTATTGTTGTGGACCGAAAGCTAAATCAGCATCATCACCATCAAATAAAGAATTTTTACCTATTCCTGAAAGATTTAAACAACGAGCTGATCAAATATTAAGTGTTATCAATCAAAGTCTTATTGAACGTCTACCAGAATTAACACAGTATACAAGTGTTTTACCTTATAAATTCTTTGAACAAGATTCTACGACAGATTGTCAACGATATTTAATCGATCGTACAATGTTGAAAATGATGAATGAAACTCGAGTTATTAATTGGATGCCATCATTAAAAAAACTCTATCCAGTTCGAACATCAGGTAATGGTAATTGTCTTCTTCATGCCGTACTTATTGCTATGGTTGGTGTACATGATTTTAATTTATATTTACGTGATCGACTTCTTCAATTTATGGATAAAAATAAAGCCGTACTTAAAGGAAGTTGGAAAAGTGAACGAATAAAAACTGATCAAATGTATGGTATACAATCTGAACATTCCAAACTTGATAGTGTAAGTTTAAATTAACAGAAAAAGAAAAGGAACTAAACAAACTTTGTTGATTATAATGATTATTTTTGTAAGGAATGGGAAGAATTATGTGATCTTGTTCGATATGATAGCTCAGATGATGGACAAACAGCATCAAATTTACAATTTCTTGAAGCTGCACATATTTTTTCTATATCAAATATGCTTGCACGACCAATTATTATTTTATCTGAAGATGTTGTACGAAATAAACATGGTGAAGCTATATCATATAATGATTTATTTGGTATTTATTTACCTATACTATCAAAACCAAAAGATTGTGTTCCTATACCAATTGTATTAGCATATGATCAATCACATTTTTGTCCATTACAAACTAATGATTTAAATACAGGATCAAAATTAGATAATTTTCTTCCACTTTATCAATCAATTGAACATACTCGAAATCAAACTCTATTACCAATACGATTTTTAGGTAATGATAATAGTTCCGAGCAAAATAATAAATTACTTCAAAGTTATTTACGTACTAAAAGGTTATCTTATTATCCGGATACAAATGGTACACCATTACCTATTCTATGTGTTGAATTAGGCAATAGAGCATTGCCCGAAAAAGATGATTTTTTTTTTCTTTATTATAATTATGTTATGGATTTTTTTGAAATACAAAAGAAAAAAATACAAGAAGAAGAAGATAAACGAAGATTTGAACAAGAATATTATTCTCCTAATCAATCATCATATGAGACAAATCAACGATCAGTAATGAAAAGAGATGATTCATCTCCACCACCACCATATTCATCCATATCAACTAGATTAAATGATAATAAAAATATTCCTATTTATGAACGACGACCGTCATATGATCAAGCTGTAGCTAATGGAACAACATATGTATCATCAAATGATGGAAATCGTTCGATTAATCAATATTCAGAACAACAACAACCATTACAAAAGCCACAAAATAATGTACAAATAACGCAACGTACTCCAGTACTCCATCATAATCATTATAATAATGGAAAACAACTATCACTTAAAACTGATTGGGAATCGAATGGTGACGATTTGATACTCAATGGTAAAAACATAAGCAATAGTAATAATCATTCACGAGGAAATGATTCCAAATTGAAACAAGGTAAGTTTTAACTTACTTTTTTTGCAAATATTAAAAACAAAAGAAAAAGAAAAAAGTTTTATTGTTGTTGGCTATTGTTCTTAGTGTGTGCGTGTGTGCTATATGGCTCAATTAAGTCTATTAATTATATATTTTAACTAGATTTCGTTTTATTTATTTTTTTTTTACTTCAATGATTATTTCCAAATTTTTGCATCAAAATTGACTAGAAAAAACATTTTCTGTCTTCTAGTGGCTCTGGCGTGTTTACGATCCAGAGGTGTTGATGATTGATGTAAGAGTGCGTGATAGCATTGATTTTTTCCTACTATATGATTATTATTTATTTCTATACTTCCTTGCTAAATTTTTCTTTAGATATTTTATTTTATATCATATATTACATATCTGCTATTGCTGCTTGCCATTATGCTTTTATTAAAAACACGTTTACTCACACACACACACACATAGAAATTTTTCTAATAAGAACTATTTAGATAGAACTGTGATTGTAATTTAGTAGTAATTTATAATGAGTAGAATAATGTTCAATTCATCTTTTTATAGACCCGAATAGTCGAAGTTCGATGTGTTGTATTTTATAAATATTCAGGAGATAAAAGTGAGGCATTGATTGTGCGTGTATTTTTTTGATTTTGCGTTTGATTATATTAAATTCACTCTTCTATTTCTCTTTAATTTGGGTTTGCTTATAAAATTGCAATACATAATAGAGAATCAATTTTAAAAGCTTTCATAGTTTGTCACTTTACTAAACATAAAGCTAATATTATGTATATTAAAATTCTTGATTTATGTGATTTATTTATATAATGTTTTAGAACAACAACACCAAAATTTAGTTCGAATTCCTGTTAATGTTGTAAAATCCGACTCATCACCAACGAATTTGATCGATTTCGAACAAAAAACAGATAAAATTCGTCCATGTATTGTTTGCAAACGTAATTTTAATGATTTATTATCAACTGCTTTATGTTCTGAATGTGATTATAATAAAAAACATCTTCTTCCACGTCATGTTGTTACTTTACGACCTTCACCAATGAATATATATCCAACATTATATAAAACCTCTGATTTTATTACCCCATTACCATCATCACCGAAAATAAAAGGTCCACTGAAAATTATCTGTCAATATTGTCGTTCTCTAAATCTGTTAAATGATATTAAAAATGGAACGAATCATTCTTGTTCAATATGTAAAGCTACTCTGTATGTTTCACGTTAATAATAATACTACTAATAATAATAATGATCGAGTTAATCTGAAAAAAGAACAATAATAACAACAACACAAGAGCAGTTATCCTGTGGTTATCTCGAAAGTGTTTTTATGTGATAATGTCATATGTAGATTGAATCGATCTATGAAGTAATTTGTTGTCTTTTTATTCTGTACATTTGTTTTGTTTTTGTTTTTGGTAAAAGTGTTTTATGTTTATAACGAGTACAACGACGAATAAAATAAAAATATACTGTTGTTTTTTTCCTTTATTTTTTTATTTTGTCTTTTGTTTGTAGTAGTTCTGTTGATCATGATGCTGTAATTATTTCCCTTTATTTTGTTTTGATCGATGGTATATAAAGAAAAAAGATCTTGAATAAAAAATATATTAAAATAATCATTAAATGTTTTATTTTAATCTTAGATTATTAATATCATATGAAATCTTTGTTATACAATTTATAGAATGAAATTGAACTACGCAATGTAAAGAATGTGATAATTTATTGTAATTAACTTCTATGAGAAAAAAACAACATACAAAAGATTTCTTTATCAATATAGATTTTAAAATGAATGAAAAGAATCATTTGATATGATTGTATTAATAGATAAATTTCTTCAAAAGTTTGAACATATATCAATGAAAGAACTCAGAAGAATATGGATATGATTTGTTGTTAAATTGATCATTTCTTTATTGATATTCAATAGAATAAATACGAACAACACTATATTAGTTTTATAAATAGACTTAATGATTTTTAGAACAAATAGAAAAATAATATTGATCAAGCCAAGAAGAAAATCTATATTGATTCTGCAATATCGAATGACATACATTGATTTATATTGTTGAAAACGATTTATCAAGCAAAACACCATCGACATTAGGACAAACTTCTGATAAAGTTATAAAAGACAGTTAGAATTCGGTATTGCTAAGTAAATTTTTCAAAATAAATAAATATTATAACTCTTAATTCAAAAATTACTTCAAGACAAGAAGCCTTTACCAGTATAAATTTATTAGAAATAGTATAATTTCACCGATATATGTCATATATATCATAGAATTCTTAAAATTAAGCTAGATTTCCTGGAGCTTAAGTACCTTCCTATTATGGAACAGTCCTTGTATATCAATTATATACTGTCACTTTTTTTATCATTATTTCACAGTATATTATATCACTTGACCTTGAACAAGATATAACAACGACATTATTATCTCGAACTAGAAGTTCGACAATTGTTTGTTATGTCCTCATTCTACATATAAAAATAACGTGGAGGTTCGACTCCAAAATTACAAAAATGTTAATAATATTTCGAAAGGTCTTGTATTATTTTTTTTTACAATTCTTCTAGTAGTTTGATGTATTGAGTCATTTTGTCACTTTCGTTTATCATATTTATCATGTAATGAAAACTGTCAAAATAACCTGCGGTTTTACTAATCATTTTTGTGGATAAAACCGATCGCTTCTATTTAATATTGAACTTAAAGAGATTGCGATTTTTTCAGAAAATTATCACAGTTTGATGCACATTGAGAAATTTCGCACGCTAATTTCACCTAAAACATCAATACAACATGAAAATGTCTCCTATAACTTAGGTTTAATTTAAAGCTGTTTCCTAATATTTCATTAGTCATAGCTGGTGAATCAATTCTTCTATAATACTAGGTTTTTATCCACTCAGAACGCAAACTTTATTGAATATAAATGTTTTGACTACTGTGTGTTTTTGTGTTAAACATCCGTCAAGAACTTTATAAACAATCATCTTTAGAAATACTTTTTGCAGTGACATCTGCTTTCGTTTTAGTTCTTGTCTGTTTTTTTCTCTATGTGCGACTTACCGATCATTGCGTAGGCTGATGAGCAATCATATTCATCCCTTTTTACTTTAATGCTTTCACAGTTCTTAAAGCTATAAGAATACTTGAGTCCTCTGCGTTTGTTTAGTCATATTAGTGTATGAGTGAGTGTACGTCTTCTATTCAATCTCATATACATTTATTCATATGCACACTCGACACTCTGAAGAGACTGAAATGACTAATGAGGGAAAAATATGAAAGCCACAGTGGCTTGAAAAGTATAAAAGTAAAACAGAATAAGTTAAATCTCTCATGGATTCTTGTTTGTCCGTGTTTTAATTGAAATTATTAACTCTTCAATTCATAATCATGTGATTTTAAGAAAAAGTAAAAGAACTGCTATCATTTGAGGTATGCTACGTAAATTTTCTTTAAAAGAATTATGAATGCATTTTGAAAGAGTTTAATATACATCTGCTCTTTTTCTAGGTAGTTAATCACTTATCTCTGATAAATCTACTTTACGGATTGGTAAATAAAGCTTTTCATAAGTGCATTAGATACTTTGGAAACATGCCATACAACTATGAAAATAATTAAGTGCAAACGAAGAATTGAATTGATTCATCTTAGAAATTCTTTTTTTTCTACCGTGATATTAGCAAAACAACTGTGTCAAAAATATTCATAAACACGCATCATTGTAGATGCAAATTGGGTTTCTTATCATAACGAAATCGAATTTTGTTATTTTTCTTTTTTGCGTTAAATGATCGGTTAGGTCTGAAAAGTTTCTGCAGAATATTATTTTGCTTTTTTTCATTTCAGATAATTTATTGTGTTGACTCACAGAAAAAATGAAATGTCCTTTGTAGTCATTGTTCTAGGACGTCGTTTCGTTTCTTGTGTTTTATGTTAAGATAAAAAAAGGTTCTTAACACATCTCATCTTATATGAATATCATCATGGTGTAACGAACGAAAGAGTAATACACGTTGTGAAGGATGTCAACAGTTATATTGTCTTCCATGTATGAATGCACATCATGAAGAACTTGTAATACAATTCCAATTATTATTTGGAGTTCAAAATGAATTAAAAGAATCATTTAATATTGTTGAATCAAATTGGAAAAACAAAAAAGAACTTCCTTGTTTATTTGAAATCGATCAATGGGAACAAGAGTTTATCAATGGTATTCGACAAATTGCTGAAAAAGCTCGAACAACTGTTAATGATATAATGGTAAAGAATATATCTGATATTCGTCAACGATTTGATCAACTCACATTTGATATGCAACAACGTCAACATGAAGGAAATTATTTAGATAATGATATTGCTGAAATACGAAATCAATTAGAACAATTAAATAATTCTATTAGAACAATTAATGAAAAAATTCGAATAAATTATACAGGAACGAATAAAGTAGATTGGAATTCTTTGATCAATGTTACAGCAGATAAAAAATTACTCGAAAAAAAATTAATAGAAAATCGTTTCGATTTTTCAGAATTTCATTTTGAAGAAGAAAGTACTCAAGAAAAAATTTGGAAGACTATACGAAAATTCATAAGAAATAAACATGCAAATAATGATGTCAAAACTCAACAATCAAATATTAAAGGTAATACATCTGCAATTTTTGAACCAATCGGACTTACTGCTTGTGATACATCTAATTCTTCAATTGCTGTACGGAATTCATATACCAATGCAATAAAAACTATGTCTAATAATTTTCAACGAAATTCATTGCAGAATGATGAATTAATGAATTCTATAACTTTTACATTGAGAAACAATGATCAAATACTTTCTCAAGCATCGGATGTCTAAAGTAAACAATATGATTCATCGTAATTGCATGCAATACAATATAGTCATAAAAAGAATAAAAACTGCAAATATAAATTGAATATTATTTACTAGTTTATTAAATAAAGTTATATATATATGCTTTTTTTTTATGATCGTTTTCTTAATCATATAAATGTCATTCTACTAATGATTTATTTTTATATTTGTAGATGATGCCATTTGGTACATCATCAATTTGTGCTATTTGTAGAAATCAACCAAGTATTACATCATGCGAAGGTTGTCAAAAAAAATTTTGTACAACATGTTTATCTCAACATCGTGATCAACTGTCAATGGAACTTGATGATCTTGTTAATCATCGAAATGAACTTTCTGAAATTATTAATAGTGCCTCATCAAACAATACAAATAATATTAATCCTTGTTTCGAAGAAATTAATCGATGGCAAAATGAAATGCATAAAAATATTGATCGTATTGCAATAATAGCACGCGAACAAGTTCGACAATTGTTATCTGAAGCAAGTAAAAATGTTCGTACTGAACTTGATCGAATTTCACACGATTTACAACAAAGACAAAAAACTGGTGGATATGTTGAAGGTGATCTTGATCGAATAAAACAACAATTAACAAGTCTTAATGGCATAGTTCAGAGATTTAATGAACAAATTCGAATTGATACATATAATACAAATAGTATTAATTGGGATACATTATTAGTTGTTATACCTATTAATGCAAGTCAAACAAATATAAAAGTACCAAATGTTTCAACAAATTCCATGTTGTATAGTTCTTATAATCAAAGTAAAAGTTTTTTTTAATAGTATAATAACAATCATTTGTATTCTCTTTCTCAGACTCAAATATTTCAATGCCCATGTCGTATCAACAATTCAATTCAAATCAAACGACAAATACATCTATGTCACACTCAAAAGATTACAATTCATCTACTAGGCAAAATCGATCGTATAGTGTGAATTCTCGACCTCGAACCTATATCTGTATTGGTTGTAAAACACAAAATAACTATAATGAAGACGGACGCAATTTTTGCTCAGTGTGTAGATTTCCTTATTCATTTTAATATGCGCTACAGTTTTGTTTTCAATGCTAATATATATGTTTTATATATTTTCTTGTGCTATGAATAATGTTCGCCTTTCTTTTCTCATCTAGCCGAGATCGTACAATTTTATTGTATAGTTTATATACTTTTATTTAAATAATGATAAAAACACATTACAAATACTTTACTTTAACTACAGTTAGTGTAATACCAACTGTAATTGCTACTAAAAATGCAATCAAATGTAAAACAAGTTCTTTAGGAAATGCAGGATACATATCAGCATAACGTTTTGTATATACCATACAATCGATTTCAGCGGTATTATTTCCTCCGAATTCTCTTCGTACATTGTCAAGTGCTGATTGATCAACAGAGGCTAATCGTTCGTTTGCACTACGTGAATCAAGTGGTACAGATACCCATTCATAATCATGACCACCGGGTCCGCTGACTTTAGCTCGTAAAAGACGTGTTGAATAAAGAAGATTACCATTTGTGAAAAAGACATAGATGTTATAAATTGATATAATAATATATATCAAACTCAAAACAATAGTAACACCGATTAAACCAGCTTTAATTAGAGTAAGAACTGCAAAAGCCATTGATACGATCCAAATAACAGCTACAACGGATCGAAATAAAAGTAAACGATTACCGAACATACTTAATTTATGAGCAGTAGATACAGAATTATAATTTGCAACAGCAAAATTGTATCTTGCTGCATATGAGGTACGTACAAAAATGCTAAAACCTGTTGCTTCAACAGGAGGCACAGCATATTTTGTTTGAGGCGGCATAACGTCAAATTGGTTTACTTAGAATAAAATTTCAAGGTAAACATATTAGTAACACATATTCTTATCTTTTACATTCAATGTAAAGATACTTTTGTGATAGTGTTGTTATCATTAGTATCAAAATAGCAAACAAAAGAATAAAAGAAGAATAAATATATTTCGTTCAAATGTTGCCTAAATATGAATCATTTATATTTTAGCATAGATTATTTAGTTAATTGAACAATAAAATAAATGAGACATTGCATATTACTCGTTCATACATGGATTAGAGTGTTTATTATCGAAATAAGAAAATAATGATTTTTCATTTTATGCAAAAAGGACTGTATCTTTCTATTAAAACATCCATTATCTGTAGTTGAGTCATTTAGTACAAAAAACAAGATGTTCTTTGAAAAGGCAATGGTAAAACATGAAGAATATGTCTGCAAGCAAAATATCTTCTTTATTCAATACAAAATTATTATGTTTTCATTGTAAAAGTTGATTTATATCAATAATTTTCATATTATTTCATTTTGCAAAAGAAAAACATCTATGATATATTCATTTCATTAGATCAAATATGAAGTTATATACATTAATGACAGTATTCATTGGTAGTAGGACTGCTACATTTTAGAAAGATGTTTCTACAATGCTTGCACATCTGATATTGAGAGGCTGTTGGTGAATGTAAAGGAAGTATCAAAGCGAAGACGAAGGTGAGAAAGTCTACATATAACTTCAGTATTTTTCTGATTATATTTTTGATTGTTCGTAATTCTTCATGGCGGAGTCAGGATTTCCGGCTAGTGAGAGAGGCTCAACGCTCCCTTCCAGCTCCACCACTGGTAATTCTCAGAGCCATAAGAAATAAATAGTCACGAGAGCAAGTTTTACGGAAGCCATAGTCGTACACTCGTATTCAGTCATAGAAATGGAAAACTTTCACTCAAGCAAGTTTATTCAGGTGTAGTTTGGCTAATGATTCATATTAGAATTTTTGTTGAAAAGGTATACTTGTATGAACAAGACTATCATTAGTAATTATTAATACTGTTCAATAATATATCACATTAAACTAAGTGTTGACGAAGTCGAATTCACGATATGCCATCCTTAAACAATTTATTATAGATGCTTGATTATTATTTGAAAAAAACGGTTTTTATATAATAGTACTCTAGCTAAAATAAATTCTAAAACCTATATTAGTATACTATCTAATTATTTTATAATCTTTCATAATTCGATTCGTTGATGTAATATTTGTAAGAATAGCAAAAGTAATATTAGTCTATTTCTTCACAACTAATCTTGACATATTAAAATTCCAGGATCACTGAAAGCACCAACAAGAAGTTTTTGTTTATATGTACCACCAACAGTTGATGCTGATAGTAATTCACCATTAGTAAGTAGTAGTGTGTTAAATGTTGAATCTATGATTATAGAAAATGTATTACTTGATACATAAAAAAAGGAATAAGTTTTACTTGATTTCGGATAAGGAAACAGTGCAACTTCAGAAGGAGCATGATGTTGTTGGCGATCTACTGCGTGTAAAAAAAATAATAGTGCATTTGGATGACCAGCAACAATAACTTCATCATGATCATTAACAATTACGTTATCCACAAAAAATGGTACAAAGAGACTTCGTACATAAGTTAAGGAATTATTTTCTGAATGACGTTCATATACACGAATCTGACAAAAATAATAATTATTTATTTATAAAATTCACAAGACAATATTCGACTGACTCGTTTTTCTGTTGATGCTGCTAAATAAATAGTTTTAAAATCTAATGAACTAGCAATACCATTTGCCATAGAAACAGAATCAACAATCTAGGAATATATCAACAACATTGATTAAAATTTTAAAAATAACAATATCATATCTATTTACTATAGAACATTGCCATTCATTTGTTTTTGAACATAATAATAGATTACCCCAAGGACGTTGAGAAAAAACTTCAAATGTATGCATCAACCTTGACTTATCTACTCTATGCTTATAAATATTTGTTACATAAAATGTCTTCTCATCAATTGCCAAAACATCGTCGGGTACTATGTTTATGAAAAAAAAAACAACATATAATATAAAATATTCAATGTTTAATTATTCATTTAGTATAAACCAATAGTTCAAATTTTCATTCGATTCATTCTTAAACTTTTGATTATGAATATGAGCGTTAAAGCATATAGCTGCTGATTATTTTCTTCATTTCAATTAAACGTAACTACCTGTAAATAGAGGATGAACAACTGAATCAATCCACTTTATTTGATTTTCATTTGAAAAATCAATTTCAAAAATATCTACAGTTCCAATCAATTCTCCGTTATCTATTCGATAATTTGTCATAAATAACTAAATATTATTGAATTCAGATATGTACTTCTATGTTGTTTAGCTTACTTGATAATTTTCTCTTTTTAATAAACTAATTCCTAATGGATGAAAATGTTCATATGGATAATTGATTAAATTGAATTGTTTAAATGTTTCAGATTGAATATTAAATGTAAAAATTTTTCCTTGTTGTTTTTTATTATTGTGATTTGATAAATTAAACGTATGAAACCATGTACGATCATCACTAGCCATATAAGCAATACCTTTGTCATAATCAATTGCAAAATCTTCAAAAGCTTGATCATCTATAGCAAAACTTTTGTATAAATTTTCAATCTATCAAAATAAATTACCTCCATCTGATGGCACAATTAATCGACATTTATCAATTCCTACTGTTTTAATATGCCGAAATACTCCAAAATCTATCAATTTTTTCCCAATATATGCCAAAACTAATACCAAACAAGTCAATAAAACTATAAATTTTCCCATAGTTTAATCTAAAAATTTATAATATTAGAAAGAAAAACAAAACAATTTATACAATATTCTCATGATATGAGTGCAATAAAATAAGAACATATAAAAAAAAAGAAGACACAAAGATAAAATTGTACGGAATAATATTATTATTATTATTATCACAAACAACACAGATACTGCAGACTAATTTAGTTTATTGATCGTGTATTTATCATTGTTAATATTAATAAAAAATCAGAATCAAATAAATAATGTTTATCTTCTGGTATAAGTTTTTTTAATGATTCAATATCTGTTTCATTTTGCTAGAGAAAAACAAAAACAAATTATTGAAAATTTATGTGGAAAATTCTTTTTTTTTCTTTACTTCAAATGCTTCAAGAATCATTTGTAAGATTTCATTACCAAGAATTTGTCGTATTTGTTCGATTCTTTCTTGATCAAATTTAACACGATTTTCAAGGTTATTTTCATCTTCTGGATTACACCAAACATCATCATCATCATCATCATCATCATTGTTATCATTATCATTATTTGATTTTATAACTGGTTCACTAGTTGTATGTTTTAATTTAATTTCATCATCATTTAAACAATTTTTTAATGTTAATGATAATATTTGTTTATCTTCATGATCATCATGTTCAAAACTTTGATTACTTGGTATTGAATTACTTTTCTTAGTATGTTGAAATTTTGTACATGTAAAAATATCTTCTTGTGATGATTCAATAATAGTATTTGTTGCATTTAAATCAGATAAACTTCGAGTAAATTTAAATGATTGTATTGTTATTTCCTCTGGAACTTCATCAATTGTGTGTAGTTCAGGATTAGAAATAGTTCGTAAAAGCTAGAAATAGAATAAGAAATAATTGTATGAAAATATAAGGCCTTTTTAGTTTTGTTGATACATCTATATATAGTGAAAATTTTATAATTTAATCTCGATACTCGTACAGCAATGAAGAAAACTCAATTTTTATTGTAATTTATTAACGAATTATTTTAAAAACTATTTGAAGTAAGAGATAGAAGTAAAATACTCTTCTGCAATGAACATAGGTATTTTGTATCCTTGTCAAATAATTTTGATTGAAAGAAAACTTCTTAGCGGGTGACCGAAACAGAAATTTGAAGAGCATAAAACTCTGATTTTAATCCAGTGCTTTCAAATTACTTCTATCATTTAAATCATTATTGAACTTTTCTCATCAATATTTATGAAGTAAAAATTTACAAATAAAAATTCTTACAAGTCTATTTCTTGCATCAAAATGACCAGTAGTTAAACCTTCAAGTAGATCAAAATCGTCCGAGATTATTGAAATTCTATTTTTTCAAACAGCAAAAGAAAAAAACATTAGATGGATTTATTTTCTTTTTGTTTTTACTCTTTTAAATCATTTTGTTTCGTTTGATTAGTTAATGTTAAATCACAATCTTCAACAGTCAGATCATTTATAATAGGTTTATTTGATATATCACATGTTAAATTTATAGATTCATTTGTATTAGGTATAACATAAGTTTCATTTTTTTTATTTGGATCAACTCGTTTTGCTAAATTTATTAAACTAATATGTGATGTTTGATTATTATCTGTTGAATCAGTTGTACTTGACATTGTATGATCTTGAGCTGGAGCACGTTCAAGTACACTAATAATTGTTCCTCGTGCTGCATTTGACCATTTTGGTCGATTAGATCTATTTTCACTAATAATATTCATTGCTTGTCCTTGAATCATTAAGTTAGGTGCATTTGAAACTATGTTAAATGAAAATTTTAAATCAATTAAGTTTTTCATTTCATGATAGTTTAATTTTCTTACCAGATGAATCATTCATAGGTGTAAAACGATTGAGAACTGTAGAATCAATATGTGGTTGTTGATTCCACAATGAACGCGGTGTAGGTAGTACATCACATTCTTGCCAAGCTTCTCGAATAATTTTTTCATTAATATTTTTTCTTTGTTGTTCAGAACTAAAATGAAAGTTTTTTTTTTTTCTCAAAAAATAATCTATAGAAAAAATAAAAATAATAATAAAAACCTTGTTGGATGAACACCAATATTATTTAATAAATCAGTAAGATTATTCTCAACAGGTTCGATTTTTTTAAAAACTTCTTGAACTTGTTGCTATTTAAAGAAAAAAATAATTTTTTTTTTTTTTGTATAAATAATGAAATTGATATTTACTTTTTGCTCACTGTTTTTTAGACGATAACGTTTGTTAATTTGCAAATAATCATAAGGCTATAGAATAAATGAAGCGAAGCGAAACGAAATGAAACAAAAACAAAAACAACGAAATATTAATTAATCATACCTTATTAATCAATGGTTTTCGTATAAATTCTCGTTTATTTAAAAGATTTTTTTGTCGAATTTCTTTAAGATTTTGATTTAATACACTAACAACACCATTATGATTTTTTACATGAGATTTATTTAACTGAACTTGTCGTTTATTTTCTATTCGTATTGGTCGACCAATCTTTGCACTGAAAATATTTTTTTTTAAAATATTATAATAATATTGAATGCATTTAAATATGTACTTTGATTTTGGACGAAAATGATGATTAGCAATTATTGGTTTTTGTGCTTGTTTAACTAGAATAAAATGAGATAGTGATTAGATTTGAAACTTATTTTTAATTGATACCTTTATTACATTCGTCTATTTTCTTTTCATTTTCGGTTATTTTTGGTTTAAGTTTATCTAATTGTCCATTATATTGAATATCATTAGCTACTTTTGCTACGTTAACTTTTGATGAACCAATAACCTGAATTGTTGCGAAAGAAATAAAATAAAATAATGTATTAGAATATAAAACATACTGGTTCTCTGGCTGATGATGGATTAGATATTTGATTCATTTTATGCTAGAAAAGAAATATATTTTGATAAATTAATAAGAGAAAAAAAAAATCTTATATATAAGTTATTTGAATCGTATAAAAGCCTATTTGTAGTTTAAAGTCTATATAGTAAAAACTCGTGAGACTATTTCGTGCTACTTTTCATACATGAGCGCGTTGTAGGTCTCCGTCTCGTGTTTTACATTATGAATACATTTCGATAGGACTAATTCGTTTTTACATTATACAGTACTGAGAAAAAATATCAGACTAGTATGTTATTTTCTACAATGCTAACCATTCAACTGAAGTCTAAATAATGGCTTGAATAGTCAATGAAGTTTTCTATCAAATCCGTTCTACATCAGAATCTCATAGACGGACTATGAGAAGACGCTTTCTAAAAACTCAAAGACGGTAGTTTTTGGGTCTCAGAAAGCTGTATGAAAATCAGTTCTGATGAGTACCTAATTAAAAAGGCACAAAGCTCCGAATAAAATGAGTGGTTGTCGCACGTTCTACGATCTATTTTATGACGTTTATAACATTTTAAGGGAAGATCGTAGGGTATATGGCAATCTTTCATTTTATGCAGTACTTGATACTTTTTAGATGCTACTCTTCAAATACAATTTCACATAATCCATTAATGAAATTTTGGTATGAAATGCATTTAATAGAGAATTTCATTGACTATTCAAACCACTATTTAGATTTCAGTTAAATGCTTTGTATCGTAGAAAAAACGAAATAACAAATATATTGATTTTATATTTTCAATGAGTATTGTAGTAGAATAATATATGAAAGTAGATCTTCTCTAGTTTTAACTTACTGGTAAAAACACCGGTGGTGTTGCACGTTGATCTTTAGCATCTGATGTTTCCTGAAGAAAAAAAAAAAGTCAGTGTATAAAAAGTAATAAAATATTCAGTTGATTATACCGGTAAACTTTTTGTTAATTCTAATCGATAAAATTCTCGATCTCGTTGTATCACTGCTTTTCGTTGTTTTTCAATAAATTCTTGTTGTTTTTTAGCTAAATTTTCGGCCTAAAATGAATGAATAAATTATTTAAATTTGAATATATATATTTTTATATACTTGTTCTTTAATTAGTTTTTCTCGTGCTTCTTTTTGTTTAGCAAGTTCTTTACGACGTCTATCTATTTCATTTTCTTTATCAACAGATAAATTTGGTCGTCGGTTAACTTCAACGGATTTTTTTTCTTTTGATATTCTAGAAAATAAAATAAAATAATCTTTGAATTTTTTATCAATATTTTATATACCGATTTACAGAACGAGCAGCTGAAACTGGACGCTTAACGATTGATGGACCTCGAGATGCTTTAATTGGTTCTTGAGGAGAAACTTTTGGTACAACTGAAATTCGATTTGCAACAACTGCTGCACGAGGCGGAGAAATACCAATTGCTTTTGGAACTATCCATGGACGAGGTGATGGTGATGGAGGTCGGTTCACATTTGGTTGTACAAGATCAACTGAAACTTTGTTATTATGTATAACAGTATGACTAAATTCTTCTTTATGTTGCTATAATATGTAAACGATATGAAATATTATTAGAAATATATATATACAGTCCAAAACAAAAATATCGATCTTCCATCAAGTGCTACTATCTTTTATGATACGGAACTAATATTTTGGGTGCATGCATGCATGCAACAATAAACTCTAACCACAAGTATCAACCTGTTTTTCATCGATTCACATGTACTCGAGTTGTAATTCAGACGGTATCTTTCTTTTGTAATCATCTTATCTTAACTATGTTGTCATTATATTTTCATTCGATGGCTCATTCGAAAGCGCCATCACTAGTTTGAATTTTGTTAGAAATCACTGAGACTTTATCTTCTCATTAAGAATATTTGTTCATGAGCGCAACTGCTAGTTTTTCGTAAGATGGGTCTTTTTCACGATGACTTTGACCAACTCGTTTGACAAACTTTAGAACTGTAGCACTGAATAAAGTCAAGTTAGTGTTCCTACATGACTTCCCTGACTCAAGGCTTGCTGATTACTATAATCTTTACTATATGTCACAGGTGTCAATGATAATAATGTAGACCTTCTGACTTTTTGCTGATTTTTTATTGTCTCATAGTAACTTTGAATCGAAACCAGGTTTTGCAACATTATTTGCCGTTTTCTGGCAGAAATTGAAATAAAAAGAACTGGGGCCAGCTGTCTATTTTGAGAAGGACCGTGTCATAGTAAGTTTCATTCTTCCATTCCGATCGTCATTTCTAGCGATTCACGAATGCAACCACTTTTTGTCGAGGATTTAGTTTCTACTACCGCTAAAGAACACTTTCAATCTTGATCATTACACTTGTATATTTGAATCAATGGAGGGCGAGTTAGTGCTTTCGGTCAAGATTTATTAGCACGCATATGTATGCAAAGTGTGAGTTCAATATGATAAAGAATAGTATACACTTCATAGAGAGCAGCTAGTTTTGTATAGGATTGTAGAATTTTACTTCTTCTGGTAGATATTTTGAAATACGTCGACTTATAAATGGTTTTCGTAAAATTGTATTAATGGATGGACGTTCTCTGTAGATAAAATGAATAAAGATCTAAATCTAAAATATTATTTCATTTTACCGTGGTTCACGTCTAAGCATTGATGCTATTAAAATTCGCAAATCACCACTGTACTTTGGTGGAATCGGATTAAATGATCCACTGAAAAATAATAAGATAAAAAAATAATTCTACGTAAAACGAATCTCTTACCGAACTATTCTCATAATAAGACCATTCATATTATCAGCATCGAACTATAGAAAACAAAATGAAAAAAAAACAAATTTCAAATCTAATCTTATAGTAGTTACAGCATGTTTAAGTGTTGTCATTTCATATAAAACACAACCCAGACTCCATATATCGGATTTATTATTATATGGTTTTTGTTGACATATTTCTGGTGATAAATAATAAGGTGTACCAATTTGTGTGCGTGCTAATTCACATGTTCTAAATAATTATTTGATTAATAACATCAAAGATTTTTTATCAATTAAAACTTACGTATTTAATACTTTAGATATACCAAAATCACCTAATTTAGCTGCACCATCACTGGTTAAGAAAACATTCTAGAAGAAAAAGAAGACAATGAAATTTTTTTAATGTTTTGTTTCCTTTTTTTTCTTATTTTACTTGAGATTTAATATCACGATGAAGCACTTTACGATCATGTACATGTTTAAGTGCTAATGTGATTTGCACAAACCAATCAAGTATTTGATCTTCATTAAATAAAATACCACGTTGTGCTTTTATACGAGAATGTAAATCACCACCATCACAATAATCCATTAGAATATATAAACTTGTCAGATCTAATATAGAATTATTCAATAGAAAATTTTTCATGTTGATTTTATTTTTAAGAATAATGAAAATAATAAATACAATTTAAAAATTTAATGTCTTTCATATTTGACTGGGGCAATAGAACACTAAAATATTATTCATCAAACATTTTGCTATGAAATAAAGTATCCACCTTTCGTCCTGCATAAAAAATCATCTATGAGGAAAGCTTTACAAGCCATAATACATGGTCATGGATTTTTCGACGCTTATTTGCTAGATACGCCTATTCGAATGCCAGAAGAGTTTTTCAAAAATCCTTGATTTTCTATGTAAACGTTAGTTCGGAATAGAAAGCCTTCCTTTGAAGGACCAATGTGAATTTCTATATAGAGGATCATGATATTTTATTCTAGGAAGATTAATAAACATAAGAGCAGCTGAAAAATGTTAAATGTAATTATCGTTTTTTAATATTGATATAGTTAATTAGTCAATAGAATTTTAGTATTTACATGCCATTCTACTTAATTTTCTTTCAAGTAATCTACTCTACGTATTATTATGAGGTTGAAAAAAAAATTTCTCATTTAGAAAAAACAAGTTAATCTCATGCATTATGTCAATCAATACTTTATCAAACACGACAATTTTTGAATGAAGTTCCATACTAATTCATTGTTGTTCACTATAGAATACTGTTTTCATATAAATAGACAAGAGAATATTTTCATATATTTACCTTCAAATGATTCCAAATATGATACAATATATGGATGTTTCATTTTACCAAGAACATCAACCTTAAAAAGTGATTTTCTTTTATATTAGAAAACACATTTGTATTTTTTTTAACATACTTCTTTTCTTGCATCATCACGTTCTTTTTTACCCATCTATGAAATAAAGATTAAAATGAAACATATCAAATAAAAATTTAATATCTCACTTTAGCAATTTTTATTTCTTTCATAACCAATTGTTTTCCATCGGCTTTAGCTTGAACAAGCCATGCTTGACCAAAAGCACCTGAGCCGATTAATTTTTGTCGATTATATTTTTCCATATATCTGGGTTTATTAATCGCACTCATTTATAAATAATCATGTTATTAGGAAAAAAAAGCATATATTTTATTACTAACAAAATATATCATTGGCTATCGTAATATAATAAGTATATAATAATCAAATAAGAATATTTTCTTTTTTTTTTTTCTTTTTATTTATTGTTAACTATGAGTCATCATAAGAATGATTCGTCAAGATTAGAACCATATTCAACATAATTCACCATCGATACACCCTTCAACATAAGAATACGTAATAGACAGTGGCGGCATCATAAAATGAGCTATCGACCAATTCTAATTACAAGTCGTTAAATGATAAAGACAATCGTATTGTTTTGTTTTCTATGAAAATGATTAATATTGAGTGGCCATTTTATACACATATGGTAAAAATCAAGTTTTAAATAAATTTATTTTGCAAAATTTTTTTTTTCATAGGATTTTTGTGGTCAAAAAATGGCTGAACGACTTTTTCAAGTCATCATCAGTTTATTCGGTGTAAGATGTAATATATTATTCTTATAGATTTTTATATTCATTCTATTTTATTATAGATTATCGGTTTTATTATTGGTTATATGATGCAACAATTTAGTATGACAATCTATAGTGTTCTTTTGGGAACTTTTGTTGCCGTTTTAGTATGAAATTCATTAAAATATCATTTATTAAATGATTCTTTTTCTTTGCTATAGTTAACCTTACCACCATGGCCAATATATCGTAATAATCCAATTCAATGGCAAAAAACTATTGACTCAAGTAAAGAAATTAAGAATAATTCGATTATAAATTCGTGGAAGAAAGATAAATAGAAAAAGAAATTGAGATAGATTTCACTTTATTGTTTCGTTTGCGTTCTTATGGACATGCACAAATAATTTATTCTAATTCGTTGAAATGAAATAAAACATATTTATTTTATTCTAGGCATATACTCCGATATTTCGACACAAAGTTTGGTTTCCAATACTTTTGAGTCATTGTAAAGTAATCTTCTAGATATAAGTACACGAATAAAAGAAATTTTATATTATATTATATAGCATAATGAATACAATTTCAATTATTTAACATTTTTGAAACTGAAAGGCAATATAGTAAAATAATTGTGATCATTTGGATAAAAGAGTATGATTAATTTTGTTGCTATTTATGTTGAAGAACTTTTGAATTTTATTCAATGTAGAATTTCAACTGTGAAGATTAAAAAAGATCTCTATTTTCGAAATATACAAACATTTCATCCTTAAGCGGCATGGTTACGTTTTCCCATTCAAGTAGCATTGTTCCAGCTGAAACTAACGTAAACATACAGCGTTTTGCCAACATAGCTAAATTGATTTTAACTTTTAGTAAAGCGAAATTCTGTCTAATGCTATGCCAAGATACTACACCAAAACGAAGATAAGCGAATAGATGATCTAATTTTGGTTTGATTCATAGTTTATAACTCAATTCAATGGAGCGAAGTCAATAGTCTTCACGTCAATGTAAAACATTAGTGTTAATTACGATCATAATATTGAACATGTGATTATTGAATTTATCATTGAAACTGGACATTGTATGTTTTCAATATATTGATGCGCAAAGACGAAGAGTTCCATTAGATAATTGCTTCACTCACTTACAAATCAGATGTATATTTTTAAGCAGGAGCTGTTTCATTAGATACAGTGCGATCAAGTTCTTTATAGTATGCTTGTTCAATTTCGTCATTAGGCATCAAAACTTTTTAAGAATCCAATTCATTTCAACTTGATGATCAACAGTCAATCATAGACAATCAAGAAGATTTTGATAACAAGAAAAGTTCAATGATGCTTGACTTTGTCGATAAGTAATCGATGGATTAACAAATTGATTTAATTTCTTTGCTGTTTTATCAGTAAAAAGTTTATCTCAAAATGACAATTCCTCAAGAAATTTCACTTGATTAATCATACAAAGTGTTTGATATTCCAATACGTTCTTAAGTTCGTTAAATAGTTTACATATAATTTCTTCAGCATGAGGTATCATCTCGAAATTATGACCAAAAATATTTGATGCAAGGATAGAAAGCGTCACAGCACTGCGTTGAGTATCGAATCTAATGGAATCAATTGTTGAAGAAGCCGATAGTGAAGAATCCATTGGTTTTGCCGTTGTGTCTTACATAATTGGCACTATTGATCGAAGATTAACAAAAGCAATAGTCATGCGTGAATATTTTTCGTGCTCCTTTACGGTCTCGACTTTGACTTACTAGAAGACTTATGTACTTTTATCAACAGTTTGACAATATTGATTACAAAAGATTTGTTTTAATAATTTTCAGCTGTTGAACAACCGAAGATATCTGCTAACAATTCAGATTTGAGAAGCATAATACGTATTAGAATTTTCAGGTGAGAACTTTGTTTTTATAACAATTCATAGAAATATTCAATTCCTTTATTTTATTCGTCAGTACAAATCATGTCTAATAATTGATCAAATATTAGAACACTGGACTCGATAGCAACAACTTGAGCTATAAAAGTATTATATTAACATTTTTAAGGACGAAAAAAAGTTTGAAATAGATAAATGAAATGCATTATTATGTTGAAATAGATTTTATTTCCTGGCTAAACTACTATAGTAGTACAATTTGCACTTTAGGTATTATAACAAAAGAGGCATTAAAATTCTCAGTTTCAATTCGAAGATAAACAAAAAAGGGCTGGTTTAGTATTGTAATGATCCGAACCGAAGTTGTTTTTTTTTTAAAACACTTACTAAGTATCGACACAAATGATGATGAATTACGTTTACAGAATCAAAACTGTATTATATCATAGAGAAACATATTCTTTTAAATATGTATAGAAAACAGCGAGAAGGATAGAAGAGTTCGATATGTGGACAAAGAGAAGACTCATCCTCCATATCCCATGCAAATAATGGTTGTATTCTAGAAGCTTCTTTATGTTAATTCGATGTATCAATAGAATATCGATCTTTCGCTTCATTTTCGTCCATATTCAAATTATATTTTGATTAATGCAATGGAGTTTGCTAAAGCAATATCAAAGTTGTTTTTGAAACAAAAAAGTATTGCTAAACACTCCCTGACTTTTGACGACTATAAAAAAACAGTGATTAGTGCGGTAGAAGTGAAAGATTGAATGTTATTACTGCACTATTTCACCTTTATATCGGTTATGATACACTAAACACAATACATGAATCCATGATAGTCCTATTCTCTTACATTAACATAGCACTCGATAATTTTATTTTGTAATCTGATAGACTTTAAAATCATCTTGATAGCACTCGTAACCGCTATAAAATCTCGGAATATGGACCATATTTAATAAACATTATTACTAATTCTTTATTTAACTTAATGTTCATTCATTGCATGTGAATCATCAAACGATCTTTTTTCTATGACGATAGTTACAAAATGTCAGACGAATATTCTGAAATATTGCTTGAGCGAAGTATAAATAAGTATATTTTTAATAGTCCAATACATTAAAATGAAACTGTTTAACGAACTGTTGAGCTATGCAACAACAAAAAAACAGGCAAAATGATGCAAACATTGTTAGATCTTTTACTGAAAGGAAAATAATATAACAGAGTAATGAAATTTGCGGATCCACTAGCCGTCTCCAAATAACGATGAGAAAACTCATTATTTGTGGAAGTACAAACTTCATATTTAACATTATAATTCATTAAAAAAAATTGAAAATAGATCTTTTGTAATGCTACTGTTTGATATCGATATCCTTGATCAAATAATTGATTGGTCATCTTGTTGAACTATCGGCAATGTGTTAGAATAATATAATCCACGGGTCGAGTACCGATACGACAATTAGCACCCTTATAGTGCTTTCTAATGTGATAGAAATAAAAGAAAATGATCAATCACCAAGTTTTGAATATTATTGACCTGTTTTACTTAACATTTATACATATTTTAAAATAAATTTATGTCGAATTTAACCTGATCCAAAGTAACAGCATTTTTACTCTGAAAAAATTACGAAATGAAGAGAGCTGATCATAAATTAAAGAAATTCGTATTCAGAAATGCTAATGTTAGTAAACATAAAGTATTACCATCAAGCTTTATATAATAGTTTATATCAATATGCCATTCATGTCGACATGACGAGTGACTTTAATATAAATAGCCAGTTATTTATTCGATCTTGCTTTTTAAATACCCTCATTCATTTTTCAAAACGAAGAAATGCGTCTCTTTTCAATAGAAAAGTCTTTTCGAAAACGGTTTCTGTTATTTGTACACTATTGGTCAAATGATATGCACTTTGTTTTATCTACAATCCTATAGTTATAATCAAATACGAGAAATCATCACTATAAGTTGCTTTTTAAGTAACAGTAACTCACGAATATTTCATCCTTAAAACTAAACCAAATCAATTTAATTAAATTACAAGTCAGTTAACAACCAGTCTGATTTAAAAATTGTTGTTATCTAGGAACAAGTTTTATCACTAACTTACAGCAAAAGATGAAGTGAGAACGGTCTTTGACTTCTTCTGAGGAATGTAAAAGATTATATCAACGATAGTTGTGATAGAGTTCACTTAAAAAAATGTTCATTTCAAGCATAAATTTAATCTTATGCTCATGTTTAACAGGCAAAACTACACAGGAAAATTTAACAATGATTTTTGAAATGGCTTAGGATTATTTATGTCATCGTTTTGGATAACCTGCTGAGGCTGAAAATCATCACATTTCATATATATCTACCTCAGTCTTTTGTGCTACCTGCAAAATATTTTCTATCCGTCTGAGAAATATCCGAAACAACTTCTGTATCAGCTGTCATAAATCATGATCCAAATGGAGAGAGATATCCTTCAAACTTAGAAGGATGCCATTATCTTCACTTTCTAATGTCATAGGTTGTTGCTGAAGGTTTTACTTGACGAGTCTTAGAATTCTAATTACTTTTACTACTTTCTTACTGTTTTTTGAATCACATCTTACAGATTAGTTTCAACAAATTGATCGTTATTTACTTTTTCTAGCTGAAAAACAAATTTTACAATCAAAATGAACGAAAATCATGTTATTGGCTAGAAGAAAGCCAAGGATCGATAAAGTGTCGGAATTTCGGATAGGTCACCATCAATGGTACTGAAGAATTTTTCGGCTTTTTCACCACGGTAAAGATGTTGCACACCCATCCCTCTGTGTATATCCTCCATTTTAAAGTTCTGTCGACTTTTCCATTCAGTACGATTCATATAAAAATCATGATCCATTCGTTGCAAGTGAAACATGATCAAATTTTCGTCCCTAAATTAAAACAAAAAAACATCTATCTCAATTGAAACAAAAAAAATATTCTAACTGGGTTGCAGGCTCTTGACAGTAATGGAAACCGGGAGACCAATGTAGTAGTTTGTTGGTTAAGAGCGGTTTATCATAATGGTGGCGTCGTGTCCAATAACGACGCTGTTGAAGAATCGATTCATTTAACTTGAGTGTTGATTCTGAAGTCGCATTGTGACGAACATCGTATGCTTTGACACGAACAACTGAGATATTTGTTCGATTAATATAATCAATTAAGCCCAATGGGTATTTAGCCGGATCAGGTATAATTATTTCATCAATTTCAGCAAACAAAACATATTTATATCCACTCTTAAGTAAATCTCGTAACTTATTCTGGATTGTTTCAACTAGCCAATAGTGATCAAAATACTTTTCGGAGTGAACACGAATAACATTTACTGGCAGATTTGATGTCGATCCATCGTTACTATCATTATCCAAAATATAAATATCTTCATCGGCGAAATAGCGACGATAATATTTTAGCCAGATAGGCAAGTAACCAGGCTCATTACGACAAATAGTGAATACAGCAAATGGACTGACAGCACTCTTTCGTCGATTCTTTCGACTAGGTCTAAAACTCATCTCGCCATTTTGAGCTCGATTCCACTGTTCAATCCAAATTTCCATGGCTGTAGCTAGTCGACTAAAATATTCATTCAAATAACTCAGATTTGCACGAATCATTTCAGCCAATTCTAAGTAGCAGTCTTGAGGGGTTTTTGCAGATGATGAGAATCGTACTTTTTGAAAGAAAGCAATAATATCTTCTTGCCAAAACATTCCCATATATTCCTTTTTAAGATTAGTAAATGGATTTGAAGCTTTATTGTGTCGAATATAAGGTGCTCCTGTTTTGACTCCAAGACCGAGATGATCTGCTACCACCTTACTTGCCCATCCAGCAAACATATCATCATATCGTCCCCAAGGCATGCCAGAGCCCATGAGACCTTGCATGAAAGCTGGTCCAATCAACTTGCGATTAAAAGCTACATTCATAGAACACATTGGATAGAGCACACCAGCAGGTACTGTTATAGTTATGTCAGCAAGAAGTGTATTACGTTCATCAACTTTGAGTAATTGAGTGGGTGCATCATAGTCCGGAGCATTGAGCCAAATACCATGAGAAATTGCTGTAGGCACACCTCTTCGCAAACTAAATGGATATCCACGAACAAAATCGGAACCTTCACGATAAGGATCATACAGAGTGTTGAAAAAATAAGGAGTTGAATTAGTGACAAGGTTCTGAATATGTCTTTGTAATGCATTGATGTGATTTCCGTTGGCATCCTGAGCTGGCAAACAGTCATCGTCAATTGTATAAATAAATGTTTTATTTGAGATGAGAAAGCCAAAGTTTCGAATCGATGCATCTTGTGAGCTGATGATCCATTGTTTATCTTTTCCCAAAGACGCTTCTATATCACGTCTGTTGTACAGTTCATAGTCAGCCCACTGTGGAATTCGTAAAAACTTATCTGGATCACCATCTTGTATGATGATCAGATGGAAATGTTGAAAAAAAGATTTCCAATCTTCGAGAAAGTCAAGATCACGTATGGACGGTATCACAATGTCGATCTCATTGTAGTATTTACTTAAATCAAATTGTGGTGTCTTTCGAATGAACTGAAATTGATCTGTGCATTTCGGACGGATGAAATTCGAGGTAGTAGAGTTCCAACCACACTCTTCTTCAAATTGTTTAACAGCTAAAATGAAAGAACTTTGATGGCAGACGAAACTGAGAGAAAGTGTTTCTATCTTTCGTTTGTTAGCAAATATATTTGTACTGACAATTCTTTATTTTTTCTTTTACGTCTTCCTTCAGCCCATTAGTAGTCACAACTGAAATCAAAATAATATATTTGTGATGGAGAAATACATTACTGGTCGAAAGTTCGGAAGTATGTGAAACTTCTTAGGGCTTAGGTCATTTTAACCAAATTTTCACTAGATATACATCTTGAAAATCAGTATCCAACAGAATGCGTGTATCCATCGGTTGACATTCTATTAAGTCACTAGTTCGACACTACGGTGACAATGTGAAAGTCACATCGCAGCTACTTGTTGAAAATTGGTTTAACATCACACGTCATTGAAAAACTCAATAGTGAAGTTGTGTGATGTAAAAAAATTTGTAAGAAATTACATCGAAATCACGGAGTCATTATTTTCGTTTTGAAAACTTCCTTCAATTGGTAAACCCTAATTTCCGTTTAATGTAGATCAGTCAAACTCATTCCAATAGCAGATACAAATTTCATCAATAGTTTCTAATGAGCTCATAAGCTTCGTATCAAATTTTCACAATCGCAGACCAATTTGGTATCAATGAGATTTTCTTTCGATTGGCTTCTTGTTGAAAATGATCTTGTAGGCGCTTTTTCACCTTCGTGAAACGATGAGTTCATGTATCAGAGCGTACACAGATGATAAGCGAACTATGATATCATTGAAAGAGATGGTGTAACGCAAAAAGAAGAAGAAAAACTGTGTAGAGTCAATATTTCCCTCTCTTCTAAACATATTCGTCTTGTATTTTGTCATTCATTGTAATTATATCAAAATTCTCTTACAATCGTAGTTAATTCTTTCATGTCACCCAACAACAGCATGAGTGCAAACCAGCGCATAGATAATCATTTGCAAAGAGAGATCAATTTGACAAAGATTTCATACGCATCCAAATATCAAGCGAAATCGCTGCAGTAACAAAGGCGTCGGAAAAACTCGAAAGTAAGCTATAATAGTGTTCCTTATACGCAAACAAGATTCTGGAAAGATTAAATACGATTGTGCAAATAAATGTCGAGTATATCACAAACTTCAATTACCTTTAGCAGCACCATAAGACTCTGTAGCACTAGTGTTCACACCGCCATATTTTTTTGATAAAGCTGATCGAATCGCCTTCGGGATTCCTGGTCCAGTTGTACCAGGAATACTATTGACATCATCAAAATACTCCAAATTGTATGTGCTCAATCTTGTTTTCATGTAATTTGGTATACCGTTGACCCCCATAACAGCACGTTTTGACACCAGGTAGCGACCATAGAAATTGTTCAAGTGAGGATAACTTATGACAAGACTAAACAATACAATGATGATCAGATACGGTGAGCACGAGCTTCTTGCTTTTGAAATGATCGAATTTATTGTTTCAAGTAAGCCCGAAAGACGTTTCATCTAAAAAGAACTTTGTTTTTTTCAAGAAAGTTCTGTTTCCAGATTTTATCTTCGCCGAAAAAATCAGACTTTAACAAGAATAGCTGAAGAAAAGCGAAAAAAGTGGCATTAGTTCCTACATATTCCTTCTTATTGTAATATATTGCGCGCCATCAGAAAGAGCGTTCAATATTGAATAAAATGCTATATTGGAAGTTCTAATATCTCCAATTTTTTACGTGCATCTTTCTGGAAAAAAATGTTGGAAACGCGACTAGCTTCCTTATTTAACTATTTTGATTAAAAAAAAAAAAGATCAGTCAATTTGTTCCATATATTTTCATTAGAAACAGGTTTTTTGAGGTAAAGATCAACTCTGGGAACAGAACTATTTTAGAAGTAGATAAAACGTGAAATCCACTATCAATTGATCATTTTTTTTTTACATTTTAGCGCAAGTCTCGTGGTTCGGGAACACGAAATACTGGAAACTACTAAAAATTGCTTTATCTTAGAACAAATTATTTTTATGATGGATATTCTACATAGACAGATGAATTTCCTTCAACACTACATTATGTATTTGGTATCTCTTGCTATCTACATTATTACTTCAATCGAATCAGTACTATTTCGTATTAAAGGAAAATTGGAAAAATGAATGTGCATAAAGACACTAGTACAATGGTAAATGTGTATACATATAGGTATGGTTATATACCTATAACGATATACGTGTACTGGAATATGTCTTAATGATATAGTTAAAATGATATACTGTTTACAGTATAGATATAAGCATATAGACATAAAAGTACATCTAAAAGGGTATAAGTCTAAGAAAAAACGTCTAAAAATGTAGATGTAAGAATATAGTTCTAAAAGATTAAGTATAGGAATAAGAATTAATGATTAGCAACAAAAGTATAAGTGTAAGTAGATAAGACTAGTGCTTTTGATGCACTCTGTAAAAAAATGTATCATACTGAACCTTTTAAGGTTCAAGCATAACCTGGTTCTGTATTGGACCGTTTTTGTTTGGTTTCAAAAAGTTGTTCGGCATAGAGGGTAAACAAACTGGTAAAAAGTATTTTTTATTACTTATACTGTCACAGTATACTAGAAAGAAGAATGTAGAATAGTAAATGAAGAAAAACGTTTTCGAATCCGTAATTAACGAAAAAAGAGATTTATCAATTTTCAACGAGACATAAATACTTTGTACCATATATGACGAAGATAATAATCAGTTTTTCCCTTTATGTTTCGGGAAAATAGTTTATTAGATATTTCAAAAGCGGAAGAAACGATTTATGTCCTATTGCGAACTGATAAGCCTCTACTTCTCTTATAGTGTATCTTTTGTTACTTACTTTTGTCTTCAATCTAAAAGTAATTTCTGTTACAGAACTGAAAAACATTCTTCTTACAGATACAAAATCAGAATCTTTTCTGGTTTGTAGCCAAATTAAAAAAGATTCGGTAAAAAAACTATAAAAGTTTCTTCACTGCACAAAAAGGAACTTCTGGGTTTGTTACGAAACTAAAGAAAGGTTCTGAGTTTGTGTCCACGGGAAGAATGTTTTTTTTTGGTTTCATAACATAAGTTTTTCTTAGGATTTCGTTTTCTTTTTTTGTATCTCATATTTCTCCAAATGAAACAACGATTATGATTTTTTCTACAGACAGTGTTGCGAACAAATGTGTAGTACAAGGAGATAGAAATGATAAGCTGATTAAGAAAAACAATTATGTTCAAATATTTTTCTTTCATTAACAAGTGATCTTGCATTTTCTATTATTGTATGTCTTGTCCGTGATATTCTTTCTATAGAGTCCTTTTATGTTACCCGATTTTTTTGGGAACATTAAAATAAATGAAAAACAATATTTTTTTGTTACTCACATTTTACTGTAAAATTTATTACCTAAGTTCTGAAATAGTTTTAATTACTTAATTGCTTGTAGTATTTCTTTCACTTACACTATCATAGTTCTATTCAATTTGGGATTTTACTTATTTCGTTGCTTGAAGCTCGATTTGAACTGTTTAAGTTAAATTTCTCAATTTCCTTCACCTCTCTGGATGTGAAAAAGCATAGACAGATCACTTGAATAAACCTGTATCGAAACATGTATGCATGAAACTGATTTATACATAGATCGCAATTGGGGTTATACGATTAAAGCATAACAGTGCACTGTACAAAAACCGTAGAATAATAAACATTTAGAAGATTTATGAAACTGCAAGGTATAAAAATTCCTGTATTACCGTTTATGAAGTCTTCATGAATTCTATAGAAAAGTCAAAGAAAGAAAACGACCGTAAACTAACTTATTCAATTCTTCTCATCGGATGCGTAAAAAAATACTAGCAGAATTAAAGCAAGATAAAAGTATACTAAACTATCTTATTAAATTTCTCTCATAAGACACAAGAAAATTATTGCCGTAATGAATCGAGGAAAGCAACAACCAACAAAAAGTAACTTACTTCGTTTCTTTCAGTAAGACGTTCGACCATTATTTGAGTAACTAAACGAAGAAAATAAAATAAAAGTTAATATTCTGATTTTATTTCTTTCGCCAAATGTGTGGCAACAATCAGAATTAACAAATAAACAAACAGAATGTGCAAAAATTTAAATTTCAGTAGATAGTTTTATTTGCGCAAATGAAACTATCGACTGAAATTTGAATGTCTTCTGTTTTCGTGTTCTCGTTCAATTTGTGCAATGTATTTGTTTTGGCTATGATTCAGGTGATCAATAAAATTGATCAAATGATCAGTAAGCTAAATAATTATGAAACCAGTATATTTTTATGATTTACCAGTAAAATAATTGAGTTATGAGTAAACTGAATAAATGATCAGTATATTACTTGGATAGCCAATTTTTAATTGATTAGATTTGTTAATAAATTTAAAAATCATTAAATAAAATTGATTAATAGTCGATTAAATGAAAGGGTAAATATAGAAATTGAAATCTGTTATAGAATGATTTATTTATGATTTTTCTTCTTTCTTTTTTTCTTTTTACTATAACATAGAGATGATAAGTATAACAGGTATAGAAACGGTCGAATGAAAACTAATGTATGTCCAATATAGGATTGGTTCCGGCAAATCTCGAGCTCGAGGTTGGACGCGTCCACGGCACGATCGGGTGAAAAGTATGAGTTAGAACTAGAATAATTATATAGATCGATGTTAGATACAGACTCTTATTGATGAATTCTGATCAAGCAAATAATATTTCATGTAATACAATGATCAATGGTCAAACCAAATGAAGATTTAAGCAATTATAAATAGTTTTCTATTGAAGCAGTTCCTATGTATAAAAATGTCCATAACTTCACGGATTCAAACGTGATTGCTCAATTAATGGTTGCATCAAATGATCTTCCATTCCTTGATCAGATTTTATCGGTCAGTAATCTAGTTGACATCGATCTAGACACTAAAATAATTCATGTTTTAATGCATACTCTTCAACACAATCTGACAATGGACACAAACATAATTGCAGTTGAGACGCTAACATATACTATATCCTTTTCTTCTTTCCTTGTCCTCATCTTCAGCTTAGTGTGAACAAGTAAGAAAAAGATGAAAGCATGATGTATGGCAAAGTTTCTCAATATGTGGGTGATTCATAGTCAGGAACTCGTGCGACTTCCAAATTCAAATATTGCAAACCAGTAATAGTGGCAAAAGCAATGTCAATCAGTAAGAGAAGAGAATAAAGTAGACGAGAAACACCAAACCTGCTTTGCTAATGCAACTATTCAAATATTATTTTCATTATTATTCATTCATTCATTTTGTGAATTTATTATTTACGTTGCGTTTTTTTGTTTGAATTTTTTCTTATGCCAAATTATACTTTTTACTGATAAAAGTTAGTTTTCTGCTGATAGTATTTGTATTGTTTACTTGTCAAATGTGTTATTTTTACTGACAAGTACATATAAAAAACTGCTCATTTTCATATTATTTACTGGTCATTTAATCTATTTTACTGATCAAATATTTTGTTGCCTTTTTTTTCAATGTTATTGTATTGTATCTTTTTGTTTTGATAATGAACATGAAAGCTCGAAATGTTGAGTAAATACTATCTATCTAAGATGAATTTCACAGCTGCTGTTAAAAACTATCTTATGTGTTTTTCCAATTCTGGCACGTCAATTCAAATAATCTATTGAATTACATGTCTCTTATAAAATGCGCAAAAATCTTGAAAAGTGCTCAAAGTCTCTTTTATTACTTTGTTATGTTTGCTTTATTTTCAATGAATTGGAAAGAATAAAAGACGCTGCAATAAGAAAAAGAATGAAAAGAATTGAACAAAAAGAAACCAGGCATCAATAAGAATGAAATGGATGAAGGCATACGAAGTGTATCTCTGTAACATACCTTCTTATCGGCAGCCATGTGAGTTCAAATATGTTCGAAGACAAGAAAGTGAGAAGAAAAAGAAATAATAACAACTTATTTGAAGAGAGAAATAAGCAAACAGTTGAATAAAATAACAACAAGAATCGATAATGTAACAGCGCCATGTAGGGATTCCGGAACTTCGCCAATAACACTTTCGCCAATTTGATTGTGAACTAGATGTGGGTTCGAATATTCTTGTCGGCTATATTGATGAGTGTAAGCTCTGATAAATATTCTAACAACATTAGCTCCAGCTAGAGCCCGTTGGATCTACTGGAACCCGAACCCGACCGGATCCGGGCCTGAAAGCTTTGTAATCACTGAGTTCGTGTCCGGGTTCGGAAAATTTTACTGATCGGATCCAGATCGAAAGAAA